GATGGGGTTTAGGGGTTGGGAGTGGGTGGTTGTATATCCAGGATGAATGGATGTGTGATTGGGTGGATGATGGATAGGATAGAATTGAGATATTAGGATAGGATAGAATATCTATTTACTGGTAAGATTGCAATTTTAGTAGATGTTGGAGATGTAGGAAAAATAGCAAAAGTAGATAGATCTGTAAATAGCAAATGTGGGATTGATTGATGGATCGATTGACTGATTGATTGATGTTTTGTATGTATAGGTATATGATTTTTACTTTTATGTGAAGATAAAATGAGGAGAATTTGTTTATGGAAATTTATGTAGTTGTTTTTGTTTTTAGGGTTGAGAAATAGAAAGATGGGATGAATGATATAACTTAAGAGAGATGAAATAAAATAAGATGAGATGAAATAAAAGAGATGAAATAGAATGAAAGATATAAAATAGAAAGAAAAAAATATAAAATAAAATAAAATAAAATAAAACAAGATGAGAAGAGAAGAGAAAGATTATAAAAAGTATAAAGATATAAGTTAGAATAAATCTTTATTATAACTTGTAGTATTTAAATGAATAAGTAAGTAAACAAATAACAGTTTTATTGTTATTTATATAATATCTATTTCGGGCTGAGAATTTTAATTAATAAAGAGATAGGTGGTAAGTAGGTAATAAATAGATAGATAGGGATATGAATATAGTAAGGAGATAATCATACTAAGAAGGGGAGTGGATGAGTAAATTAGTAAATGGGAATAGATGAGAAATGAATAAATAAATAGATATAGAATGGAGATGAGTAGTTTAAGAAGGGGAATAGATGAGGAGATATAGAAAGAGAATAGGTGGATGAGTAGAAGGGAGTAGATTGAGAGAGAATGAATAAATAGAAGAGGAGTAGATAAGTAAGTGAATAGTTAGATTATAGAAGGGAAATAGATGAGTATATAGATGAGTGGATTATAAAAGGGAGTAGAGGAGTAGATAAGTAAGTTAAGAAGATAAATCAAAAAGTGAGTGAACAGATAAATAAGTAAATTAGTAACGAATCGAAATAGAAGAGGAGTAGGTAGGCAAGAAGAAATATAAGGTGTAGTTGTTGAAGATAGATAGATATGTGTTATTCGTTATGTAGATAGTAATTAGATAAGAAGTATTGAGATGAATGATGTGATGGTATGTAGTTTGGTATTATGTGTAAAACAGATGGATGACTAGAATGATCAGGTGGATGCATGAATAGACCGATAAATTAGTCGACGTGATATGGTATAAGGTATATATTATATAATGAATTACACTTATCATTAAAGAATCAAAGAATCAAAGAATCAAAAAACTCAACACTATACCCGTGAAACACAATCCCCAACACCTTTACTTTTATCAACGCCCAATTTTCACAGCATAAATATACCCCCAATCCAAAAAGCAAAAATTTATCCCTCTTTCCCAAAATCCCCTTTCAATCCCATTTCTACATCCCTTTTAAAAATCCACCATCCCTTTTCCGCCTTACCCTTTGCATTATTCGCAATTTGCTTTCTCCTTTTTCTCGGATAATTAACCGGACTCTCGCCTCCTACAAAAATAGCCACGTCATAAAACAGACCTCCAATCAACGCACCCGTGATTGTTGCGCCCCAAGCTCCATAAATCCACCACGCATTCGAGACAGTGAAGACTTCGCTACCGTAACCTACTGCAGCGGTGGCGAGACGCGGGCCGAAATCTCGGGCCGGGTTGAGACAGGCGCCGGTGGTGTAGCCGAAAGCCATGGTGAGCACGGTGACGACGAGACCGACGATTAGCGCGTGCATACCTGCTCCTGGAGGCGCGTTCGAGTCATCTCCGAGGGCAAGAACGGTGCAGGCGAGAATGGCGGTGGCGACGAATTCGTTGAAGAAACTCGCAGAGGGGCTAGCGAAGGATTGGGGTTGTGTGTAGAAAGATGTGCCTGTGCCTCCAGCTAATAGATCGACTACTTGGCCATTGCCGAGCATGCCACCTGTAGCATTGTATGTGACAATCGCATCTTTGTAGATGCCGTATGCGATGAGTCCGGCAAGAAATCCACCGAAAATTTGCGCGAGAATATATATAAATGCTTTCCGTATGGGGAAGCCTCTAGATATACATAACATAAGGGATATGGCGGGATTAAGATGAGCACCGGAAATGCCACCTGCGATGTAGATACCTATTGTGATACCTAAGCCCCAAGCCCAATTTGTGGATTGGTAATTGCCTGAAGTGTCTGCCGATGTTTGAACAGCAAGATTAGTGGCTATACCAATGAGGATTGCTATCATTGTCTATGGCTTCGTTAGATGGGTCACATCACTTATGTGTGGGAACACCACTGGAAGATCAATGACTTACCGCTAAGCACTCGGCTAATGGCTCACGAAATCTTTCACGAATTGCTGCCAGAGCATTGTGATTGTCTCCTTCCTCTTGGATATACTGCTCCGCTTCTTCACTACTCAAAGACCATTCATCGTCTTCTACCTTATCTCCTCTCTCCAAATCAAGCCCATCATCGTTCTCGTCGTTTGCAAAGTCTGCACTTTGTGTTGTGGTATGATGAGTAAGCGTTGATCCTGAGGGACGTTCCTCAACATCAGAAAGTCGAGTCGTATTTTGTCGGCCCAAGTCCCCTTCCCCATCATCCTGAGGAGATCTCCACTCATCCATAGGGTTGTCTCTCTCGGCTAGCGGAGTGCCATTGTGATCCAATATCATATTATCCGAATCCTGTCTGTTAGATCTATAACTTTGTCTCCTTCCTCTCTCTTGTTGTTGATGTCCATAACCTCGGTTCTCTTCATTCCTACCAAGTCGATTCGATTTCTTTTTCGACTGTCCTTTCCTCTGATCCTCAATCATTCCAAGTTGCGGTATAGCCTCAGAACTTCCAGGCTCTGCATTTTCTGCCTCCTTATTCTCGACCGCGCCCTGTTTCCCTCGTCTCATTCCCGGCCGGACCACTCGCGGGAGAGGTTTCGCCAATCCCCATACCGGCTGATCCTTTGGTTTTTGGTAGTTTGGATTGAAATCGTAATATTCTCTGTCGACATAATGAGGTTCCCGTTGAACCCCACCATTATTACCAGCTAAGGAGTATTGCGGTCGATCTTCGAGTGGTGTATTATTTGTTGGCTGACGTACTCCATGGGGCCGTAAACTTGGCATATGTGATCTTTTAGAGCCGTGGACCTGTCCATTTGGACGAACATTTCTCGTGGATCTCGTGGTTCTTGTAGTTCTTTGTGTATCAACGCTGCCCTCTCTGACTGATGGCGCTGGAGTGTTTTGACCAGTCTCTCGCCCCTCGTCGTGATGCTCTGCCATGAGAACGCCGATTATAGTTGGTGTTGCCTCTCTTCACGCACTTACACACACAATACCAAAGGGCAACAAGATAAAGAATGAATCTCTACGATTGAATAAAATACACTTACAAGAGGTTTCCCACTTACCTTGAGTACTGTGGCCTCATATAGCATTATGTGGAAGGCGAGTCCTAATTGAAAAGTCGTCGTAATTTCATCGACGGAGGGGAATTTTGTGGGTAGGATTGATATCTGACAATGGCAAAGAGAAAAAGTTAAATGTTGAAGCCATGCTTTGATTCAGTGTGTGGATCATTCGGAGCTATTGGTCCTTGGTGGGAAAGAATTTTTGTGGTCCTACCGGCTTCCAATACTGTACCGGTATTTGCAGGTTCCTGTCGATTCCTTTTTTAAAGATTTCGGAATCAACTTCCATTCATATGGGACAAGGCGAGATCGACATGTTAGAAAAGGATGAGGGGGGAAATCCTAAGAAGCTTGTTTTTGCTCTTCGGCTCTTTGGCTTTAATCTGTGTGGTTCAATTCCTGGTAAAAATTGATTACACGTGACATCGGTCCGATTCTATCAACTTAACCGAATTTTCCCTTATGAATCGAGTGAGATGAGTCAGTCCACTTCATGGCTGTGATTCGTGAAGTGGGAGTAGAATCTCCTTGGTCTCTTCATTCATTATTGCAAGATGATACAAAACACGCAATCGGGCATCTCGAATCTCCATCTCTTCTTATATCAAAACCATTACTCATCAAATGTCCCATGTATTCTTATTCAAGAGCTCATGACATACAAGGATAACCTACTTCTTCTTTGGACATGATCGACCCTTCAACTAAGACACTTTCGTTCGTTTCTTCTTCTTTGCTGCACCTCTTTTTGGCATTTGATTTCAACTTGCGGAGTATAATCTCCACAAGCCTCGTTAAATGACACTGAAAGTGGGCTCCTAGTGCTGTTATGAATCTTATGATATACCTATTGAAGTATCCCGATCGGACTTTAAACTCCTGCATTTGTTGGAAAAGGGTGCATTTCCGCGGTCAATATCTATTTCATCACATCGGACATGAAACTACTATTAGGTTACCTCAAGTTATAATGCATATGAGGGGCTATCGATCATATACTTGAGCGCACCAGATTTTGAATTCTCATGTCGTTCACAATGGCGAGTGTGATTGTTTCACTCTCACAAGCTTGACGACAGAGTAAGTGGACTTTGAATGGAATAAGCACACCAGCCTTAAACTTGTGCATCTATCGAAACGGCAAGAAGTACCGACTTTGCGGATAACTGCGTCTTGTCTGTAACAACAATGCTTTCTTGATCAAGATACCGAAAGGATTGAATATGAAGGAAAGGTAGAACTTATTCTCAAACAATGCGAGTATATCGCAAAGGGTCTGGGTAAACTTGGGGCTCTCGTGCCACTACTTTCAAGTTCTTTGTATGGCAAGCATGAAATGGGAATTCAAGGAATTCGTTGCAAGCATCCACGTTCTCCTGGAGTTATGCAGGATCGACTTTTAGAATGCGCATGGATAGGGCCAAGTAATTTCACTACCGTAAAAGCTATAGCAAGATGTCGAATTTCTCAACCGACGGGCCAGTCCCTTCGTTACCCACAGTTTATTCATCCCAAAATAATCACCTTTTACGTCATCATCGGAAACTCTTGAAAGCTCGACACCAAATTGTTCCAATTCTTAGAGTTTGTGATCCACCCGATCATCTCGAGCAATTTGCTCACATAGCCGTTGATGTCATTGACATCTATTTGCGTGTCGTCCCAGGATACCACACAGCAGAAGCGTTCCGCACTTGCCATACCGCAGTTCCAGAAAAAGCCACTATGTATTTTGAGTTAGTAACCGTTTTTAAATCTTTGGAATACCAAGATCTCTCACCAGTCAGGCCAGTCCATTCTTCCCAAAGGTTTCAGATTCGAACAATCTCCAACACTAGAATCGAGATATCTCAGGCTTAAATCCCAATTGAATACTTGTCGCATCGCAGCCTCTGTCACAATAGGCCCCTCGTCTTCGCCTAGCTTCCTCAGAATTTTGAACCATGGTGCGTGAGCGTGCGAACTCAATGCTTTCTCGTCTTCGCTGATTCTTGTTAAAAGTTCACCACAAGTTTCTTTTGGCTTGATCTGTATCATATTCATGTTCCGAGTCAAAGTGGGGCCATCAATGCTCATGGCAGGAGGCAGGCGATCTGCAATCCACTCTGGTAGGAATGGCCAATTACGACCTGCGTCGAAGCTCTTGAAAATTGCATGCGGCTCTCCCGTTTGTATGACGTTGAGAATGGAGATAGCAGTTTTAACGATGACTGGTGCTTGGATAAAGTGCTGCATCCGAAGTCGCTCAATACCAGGATGATCCTGCATTTTCGTGAGTCTTAGTCTTGGCTGCGAATTTATGTTAAGCTTCCTTCTTTTATTATTACGGGTGATAAAATCTTTCGATCTTTTTTCATTCCCAACCATCCAACCAGGAGCTCGTTTTGGTGGCCATAGAGCTTCGGTAATTCTCGAAATGCCTCGAAGCCTCCTAATATGAAAGTTAACATCTGAAAGGGCGAGTGAACTATCTTGGTATTGTTAATACATATCAGCGACAAGTCTAGAGGGCGTGCCAGGGTAGCCATTGCCTTTGGTTTTTGTATAAACATATCAAAATCGCTGTACAATCCATAGGCGAACAATGCATCAAAGACGGAATGATTTAGAGCCAAGATCAATGCTGATGTATTTACGCCCTCAACGTCTGTAATTATAGCTTGGAACATTCGATCTTCAAAGTTTTGATCGGAATCATCAATGAGATATTCTTGGTTTTCTGACTCGTGAAAGACACTCTTTTGCGAGATCAATATGTCGTACACAGCCTGAGATGGACAGAGGACCGCATGAACACCTGCCGCACCCGAAACTTCGACCAAAATTGTACGCAAAACCGGTCTGGTCAGAAGGCATTTTTCTAATGCTACACGGACCTAGCTAGAACTGCGATCTTTTATTTCGAAAGCTATTCTGTGGCGATATGATTGTGGTCTTTGTCCTTTCGCAAACTCCTAGAATGTGTCTTTGATTGCCAAAATATCTCCTATGTCAGTCTCCCATGTCAAATCGAACTTTTGCAAACCTGCGTCAGCCGCCTCGGCCCAAGTATGATGATTTGGGCGCATAGTTCCCCATGCATCGAATCTGGTAATTCCGTACAGGATTGATTAGATGCAGTCGGATTGCTTTGGCTCTCACTAAAATTTACGTTATCTGAAAGCAAAGCAGGTGAGTCTCCACGATAGTTTCTGTCAATAAGAAGCTTTGCTTGCTGCTTAATGGTATTGTTTCTCTCTAAATCTGGCAAGTACATTCTCTGACCAAGTCTGGTCCACAAGATCTTGCAAAGCCTCAATCTTGTAATGCTATCGGCAAAATTTGTTACATCATCTTCGACTGAAATGTCATCTGGGGCTGCGTTCATAAGTTCGGCCCAGATTTCCTGCAAGTGAGCAATTACTTGCTCGCTGGAGTTTGTTCTTTTCGTTTCTGAGATTGTGGCAAAATGCTTGTTGACGATTTCATTTAATTCCACCTTCCGAATCTTTCCTGTCGCAGTCATCAGAAATGCTTTCAGATGAAGGTCATCTAATGTTATAATAGAAAAGGGTGCATGTGTCGGACCCAAATTATCGATTATACTTTTGGTTATATACGATTTGGTGACTTCCTTCGGATAAGACTGCAAGACTGCGACAGTAACCTCGCCAGCTATGGAATCCACGATGCCAATCACTTGAGCCTATAATTTTCAAGGTCAGTGTAAAAAAATGTCTCAAGGGTTGGTACTCACAGTTATGCCGAGGTCCTGAAGGCAATATTCAATCTTTGACGGGACCAAGTTCTTACCCACACGAATGATGATGTCTTTATATCGTCCACTAATGTAGAGGACATCATTTCTGTCTATCATAGCTTGATCACCGGTAATAAACCACTGTCCAACGTCATCTGTGTAAAACGATTTTGAATCTACACCATTCAAATATCCATCAATGACTGAAGTCCCGCCATGTGAAGTTCTCCAGCTTCGTCATTATTCAATGGCACATAAGACTTTGGAGAACATATTCTTAGTCTAGCACCAGGTAAAGCTTTCCCCACTCCGAGATGATAGCCGTTATTAAGCATTGGATCATCACGCCTCCAGCTTACCATAGGAGAGCCCTCCGTCATACCAAAGCCTTGAATAACTGCCTCACTATCAAGTTGCTCCTTGCAGAACCTCGCATCTTCATCTTTTATCAATGTTCCTCCCATTGTCACGTACGATAGAGACAGTGAATTCTTGTTAGGAAATTCTGCATGTGCGACAAGTGCTTTTACTAATGGGGAACGGCTCTAACATGTGTGATATTCTCCTTTTGAAGCGCTCGTAGGGGGGCAGTCACATCGAACCTTTCGGTAGCAAACACTACAGAGCTTCCATCCCTCCAACCTCGTATAGCTTGACCCATTGCAAAGATATGCCACATAGGTGTGTGGATGAGCCACTTGCTCTGACAGCTGTTTTTTCGGGCAACAGGATCACAGTCGTATGCTGCTAACCATATGTTTGATGCAGTGTGAGGGCATCATTTTGGGACCGAAGTTGTCCCACTTGTGAAGAGGATCATTGCGAGTTCCCGGCTAAGTTCTGTACCATCATCATTCAAAGGAGCAAATGAAACGTTTTCCGTCGGCAAGTTGCCCATTATCCCAGGCAGTGAATGCCAATTCTTCATCCTTTCTGAAACTTTCGAAAGTGATATTCGAACTTTGACGTTTTCCAGAATTTCAAGGATTGGGGACATGTCTAGGTCTAAAACAACTAAGACTTGAGGGGGAGCTAGACTCAGATAATGCATAATCTTGATCCGAACTTCTTGGATCCAACGGTACAAATGGCATTCTGAGCCTCGCGGCAGCCCACAAAAATAAGACCCATTCCGCGGAATTCCAAACGTAAGCTACAAGATTGCCACCCTTAGTACAGCCACGCTGTTGCAACCATATTGCCAATGACTCGGCTTTCTCGCGAAGCCGGATAAAGTCCATCTCAGTGGTGCTGAGCATGATTTAGGTGTGCCCATCCCGACCCCATTTTCATTGGTAATTGGTGTTATATGCGTTTTAAAGTCTACTTGTTCAATTTCAAGTCGTGAGCTAAAGTGGTCTGAAGATTGCCAGAGCGAACAAAGAGCTTCTTCATCCGAATGTTTCTCTGCAGCCGCAGCAAACATGTCCCACAGGCCTTGGTTTATGTCGGGTATCTCAAGACCCAGACACTCTGCTTTGACTTTTCCGACTGGAAACTCATCGGAATTTGTTGAAGTATTCATATTCTATCACATTCGGTACTGAAGATGTATCACAATTTCAAAAAGTATAAAGTATAGCGTTCAAGTATCGTCGATGACTTTATAGCTAATGTAGAGTTCTTCTACAGTTCTGTTGCATCGAAGATAAATCAACGGCTACAAGAAGAAAACCCAAACATGGGCTCCACGCTTTGCACAATGAGTCAACCCAGTTGCATGTAATTTAGGTACATACAACAAGCACAAAAAAACAGCCTTTCGTTGTACATCTTACTACTTGGTATCAACCTTCCTTGCACATGATAAGGATAGCATATGATAAGACATCAAACTTGCTTATTAGCATCAAGGGGGCTCCTCTTTACCTTTCTTGGAATATCTGACCGCATACCTCAGAGTAAGTAGTCTTCAATGGTGCTTATGGTGACGGGCTGGATATAGTTTTGTCGGGCACCTCGCTTGAAATTCCTGAGAACTCTCCCAAGGCACATGTTATCTGACCAGGTACTTGTCTCCTCTACAAAATGTTGCCAAATACATGGTCAGAACTAACAACGACAGCCACAGGATCTTTACAATCTTAGAGAAAGCAACTGTCTGAGTTCGTAAAGTTCCAATTGGCGATGCAAATCAAAATTCCAAAGTATTGGTTCTTGCTCATCGTTTGACCAAGTGAAGAGTTATTTTCGACAGTTGAAACTTACTCCGAAAATTCTCGGCTGACTCATACGGTTCGAGGGGGCAACAGCCCACAAACCTCACATCTTACTTCTGACAGAGCTTTCGTCGCCTGTACCTACGTACAATAGAAATATTTTCGAATAGTTGAGACCAATGTCGCAATATTGACTCTACGGTCAAATCAATCAGCAGATTGATACAAATGACGAGTTCGCAGAGTCTTACACCACAATCAACCATATCATCTTGTTATATCCCCGCTTGGTGATTATAAGGTTACATCGATCTCTTTGGTTCATTCCATGAATTCTTGAATCTTGGCATGATAGCGGTCAAGTGAGAGTATATCAGCATACCTGAAGTATTGATTTGAAAGATTGCATTGAAGACCTGTCTCAGTGTGGTCCGGTTTGAGAGAGTACTTGGATATACCAGCTGTATATATCACTACCTACTTAGAATACCCCTAACTCCTATCACCATCACCATGCTCCCTTTTGTTCTATTCTCATCTTGTATTCCCTTATTGCTGCGCATTAGGATCAATGTTTCGATTTCATAGGAACAACTGACGTCAAAGTACTCATCATGTGGCACTCAATGTCTTTCAATCTGACGTCCCCAGTGCCATAAGAATATCTTCTGACATATATACCCGCACATCAATTGAAAGTATCTATTCACATATCACAGGATTGATCCTTATTGCATGGCCAAGTGTTTGTTTAGTGCCCGTTTCCTGTCACTATCACATGCCATGCGAAACCCTACCTGTCTTTGAACCCAAAATGGAGACTTTTTGGGGAAAATAGTGATGAATGTTGATAGTTCCGTAATATTTCACCGCACTTCGAATATGTAAACAGATTTACGAGCTGTGATAGAATTTTGGGAGTGTTCATTTAAAAAAGAAAGAATTTCTTTTAGGTTTCCAAAATAGTGGAAAACATAGCTGCCAAAGTTGTTAGCTCTACATAGGGTTTCTTTGTGATCGTCTGAGTCAAAAGCCCCCTACCGTAAGTAGTATCAAAGATCTGCTTCAAATCTGTAATGTCTACACTTATCAATCCGAATCCCAATTTCAACTTGGCTATAGTATCTTTGATTTATGAGATTTCCTAGTGATCTCCTGAGTCAAAGGCTTTCTTACTTGGGGGTCCAGATTTGACATATGATGACACGGTTATCGGAGAGATAAGTCTGCATGATACTTTGTATTGTTTTGAATATTTTATATCTACTATTTATAGTTTTTTGATCTGCATCGCATCTGTCAATTCCTACGCTCGTCAATCCGGCACCCGGTTTTAACTTGGCATGGCCTTATGGGATGTTGGCATTATGAGCCGACAGAGCGATGTTTTTGTCGCAAGTAAAGTGACAACATAATTACTTTTTAGAAGTCTAGATTGATCATAAAGAACAGTCACTGTCATATATATCTTTCGAAGCGCCACCGACAGTGAAAAGCTCATGCTATCTAGTTTCTACTAGTCATACGAAATCAACATCACTTCTTGATCGTAAACATGGCAGTCTTCAGTGGGACGAGCTCCAATATCATTACAGTGTCTTTAACTTTATGTCTCCTTTATTATGCTTTGAAGCAAACCAAGCTTTACTTCACAAGACGCCGATTTCAAAAATCGAACGGTTGTCAACCAGCTCAAGTAAAATATCCTTTGAAAGATCCAATATTTGGCCTCGGTTTAGTATTGGATACAATCAAAAATACCAAAAACCTACGACATCTCGAGGGAACTTCTAAGCGTTATGAGCAGCACGGAACAACCTTTACTTCCAAACTTATTACGTATCCAACAGTCTTCACAATCGATACAGAGAATGTGAAAACCATTCTTGCAACAAATTTTGATGATTTCCGACTTTCGTCTGTTCGAGTAAATGCAATGAAACCCGTGTTCGGACATGGGATCTTCACAACTAATGAAAAACTGTGCCACAACTCTCGCGCATTCCTTCGGCCTACTTTTGCGAAAGAAAGTATCTCTAACCTCGAGGTTGCTGAGATGCATTGCCAACGTCTAATAAATCGTATTCATCGCGAAGGGTCTACTATTGATCTACAAGATCTCTTTTTCAAATTCACCATAGACACAGCTACCCAATTTCTTTTTGGACATTCCGTCAACTCCCAGTCCAATTCAGATCATTCCTCGGGTGGTGTATCTGATGCAGAATTTGTCGAACAGTATACATATACTCAGCTCGAAGCATCTTATAATGTACGGTTGGGACCACTTGCACGGTTTCGATATAATCCTACAGCTAACAGGGCTCAGAAGACCGTTTTTAAGTATGTCGATCATTACATAGATGAGCACTCGATGCGCTAAAGAAGGGTGAAAGCAAGACCGAAACTGAAGATGTCAAAGCTGGCCCCTATGTTTTTCTCGAAGAAACAGCCAAGTTGACCACGGATCGACAGGTTCTGCGGGACCAGGTGTTGAATACTCTTCTGGCAGGCCGAGACACAACAGCTAGTTTACTCAGTAATTTGGTTTTCATGCCAGCACGATACCCGAATGTATGGAGAAAGCTACGAGCTGAAGTGATGCAACGTCGTAAAGATCTATTCGGTGAAGATGTGGAAACTTTTGGTCCAGAACGCTGGGATCAGATACGACCGAAATGGGTACACATCCAGATCTAGATCTCTTCTCTCCATATCAGCCATGCTAACTTGAATAGGAATTTTTGCCATTTAATGGAGGGCCGAGAATTTGTTTAGGATGTAAGTTTTCTGTGTGGGTTTTTTGTTGTGGCCATTCAAGTATTTTGTCGATGAGGTGACTAATAGTTTCATACAGAGCAATTCGCATTGATCGAAGCATCGTTTGTGATTGTAAGAATGTTGCAGGAGTTCGAGAAGATTGGGCCAAGAGATGAGAAGCCATGGTAGGAAGCGTATACTTTGGTTGTCTGTTCGCATAATGGGACACAGGTTTGGTTGAAATGCGCAAATGAAATGTTGTGATTTTATCATACATGGGAGAAAATGGAGGAACTTGTGTTTTGACGTTTATAGACTTTAACGTATAGAATATTCGGGGGTAACGAATATCACTTTTTAGATGTTTATTTCTGATGTTCTTTCTCCGAGCTCTTCTCCGGGAGTTGAATTGTCGTGGTTGGCTAGTGCATCCACTGAACTTTTTCTACAGTTTGTAGTTGAATTAGTGCAGACTAGATTCTTATTTTAGATCACCATATCTCAAATGGCGTGGTCAAACACATTTTTTTTCGTCTTTTATATCGACTTTTATTTGGTGATTACTATTTCAACATAGTTCACTGCTCGAACCTCTTGTATTGAAGCCATCAACAGAAGTAAATTTAGGCCAAAAAATTTCTTGGTCACAAGACTGAGCAATGCTCAATAAGCATTCGAAGGCTTCTAATGTTCAAACTTAAAATCACTTGCGCCTGGAGGCTGATGTTGTCCGAACATAAAGCCACTCTCTGGAGTGGAATTAATCTCAGAGGCGATCCCAGCATCAAAAGCACTAGAGCCATCAAATTGTGAGGCCGATGTCAGCTTTCCAAAATTGTAAGGCTTATTTGCGCCTGAACCCGAGCTGGAATCCATCGTAGAGTTAAAAGTACTCGCGGAAAACGAGGTTGGCGGTGCTATTTGTTTCGGTGGAGCTACCCAGAAAGACGCCAGGAATAATTCTTCTCTCTCTCTTTCCTCTGCAATCGATTCGTGGGTGGGATTATGATTTAAACGTTTTTTTGGGTCCTGATATTCTGATTTGTTTGGCGCAACTCTTTCTGGCCAGAAATTCGTCACTGGCTGGCTTTCTTCATATACATATTCTTCTCTCGTGTTTTTGCATAGAAATCTACCAGTGGTACAGACATCGAGTAATTGTTTTGCAGTTATACGCTCCTGGGGTGAATACGCTAGACATTGAAGTAATGTTCTTATGAGACTTTTGGAATACATACCCGAGCTTTTGATCGTGGGATCATCGAGGAGGCTCCGTCCACACGTTAGCACTAGTGTTCGTAGTGCTGCTGTTGAATCACTTTCTGATGATGGGAATCCTACATGTGCTATGTCTTGACCTATTCTGACTTGTTGTTTTGTCATTAGGAAGTATACTATTGCTGCTACGCCAAAGACATTCGCAGGTGTACTATAGAAACGATTCTGCATCTGAGGAAAAAATTGTTCCTTTGAGAAATTAGAGAGAGGAGAACAATAGGGGAAGTAGCTGGGGTAGATCATCATACAGGGGCACCCCATCCGAGCGTCAGATTATTAGCAACATGTTCGAGCCATCCGGGATCTTGTGGGTTACTAGGAACATGGCTTGCTAAACCAAAGTCTCCCATCTAGATGTTGGGTTGGTCAGCCAAGGATTCGAATATATGGACTTTCATGGTTCTAATTACCTTGAAGATATCGATATCATGAATTTCGTCCTTATCTCCAATGAGTACTATGCAGTGAAAAAGTAAACGTCATTGCGCCTTGACAAGCCAGAAGGAGCTACTTACTGTTTGCCGGTTTAAGATCCAAGTGGCAAATAGGAGTCCAGTCTCGATCATTCTCAGTCTCTAAATTTTCACTTCCTCTCTCGAGCACGATGCATGCTCGAGCTAAACACTCAAATATGTTCCAGATATCTTTTTCTTGAAGTACATTAGAGGGCTTTCTACCATCGGGTCAGCAGTGTGTTTCCTCCCGGATCCATAACAGCTTTCACTTACTCAATTTGATTCGTCATCCATTTTTCGACATCGCCCTTCTCGCAAAACTCAAGATATATCCTACTTTGACATCTCTTCTGCCGCTTCTTAAAATTTTCTCTCCCGACATCAAACATTCCTCCAATATTCCGTGGTACAACCTCACCTTCATGATATCTCCGATATATTTTCAGCACATGTGACGTATCCCTATCCACAAATAACTGAAGCATCATCGATTCGCTCAAAAGATCCTTGTCTGATGCATCAGCTTGTTTAACCACAATATACTCAGGCATTCCTTCCGTTCCCTTCCCCGACCCAATTTTTCGATACAGATCTGCAGAACCAGCTCCGCCTTTCCCAAGATGCCGCACTCCCTCCCATGTTTTCTCAAATCCGGGCCATTGTTGCCATGTTTCGGATAATTTGCTCCATGCTTCTGCTTGTATTTTTTCGCGATGCGAAGGAGTGTATGAATCCCAGTCGGAAGGGGAGGGCTGCCCGGGAGGTGCTGTACGTGGTGGTTCTAGGTTAAATACAGGAGAATACGATATGTTAGGTGTTATATTGGCGCTGCCAGGTTGCTGCGTAAGACCGGGGGTGCGATTTTTGACAGGCTGTCGTCTACTACCAGCAGGCTGTCGTCCACTAGGTCTTCTCTTACTAGCCATTGGCGTTTAATATATCGAGAGTTATAGTAGTTGATGATAGTGACGAACCTTTTCAAGGATTTTTTCAGTTTGTCATAAGCAATACGCCTTTAATTTCGACAACTCTGATGTAATCGGACAAAGAAAATACTTTGAACGGGATCGAGGGTTTTCCCCGTTTGAGGAATCGAAACGCACATTCTTTGTTCTCGTTGTTCAAATACTGTTCTTTTCATCAGAACAAACCTCAAAGAAAGTATTCCGCTGGTGGATAAATAACCGATCTAACGAGACTAGTTGTGATAAAATTGAAAAGGGGTAGGGGAGCTGGAACAGGGCAAATGATGAAGTGAATTCACTAGCGTTTTCATTTAGCGAAAATAAAGTTCACTCGCGAAGAGCGCATATCTCTGCACACTTCATTCATATTATTTAGTCATTAGTCACATATTAATCTAATTTTCACATTCAGTGGCACTACTTGCATATCATGAAGTCTTCAATTTTATTCCAAAAGGAAATTTATATTCTACTAATCAACACCTGCGCAACTCAAACAGTCTTTCAACCTATTGAGATACTCCTTGGTACTTTTTTTTGTTTGATAAGAAGGGAAGTGCTTTCTCGACTTACTTCTCAAAACTCTCCACGGTGTCCTACTTACACTCTACTTCTTCTTCGAAAACCTCCTCGCCATCTTCTTTATTCCTTCGCTCATTTTCCTCACCAACTTCTTTGGCATGAAAGGCTCGACTTCTTCCCCGAGTGGAACTGTGCGTGGCTCCGTAACAGGTCTTTGTCGCTGGCTTTCTCGAGGGGTCGGTGGTTGACTGAAGCTTTGACGGGGTGTCTCTTCTTCGTCTTCCTCTCCGCTTTCCCTCCTCCCCGGAACTTGATACGATGTATCGATTCTCTTGACTTGCTTCTCCTGCTCCTTGAGAACGCGTGTTCCTAAGGATTTTGGATGAGATTGTGGTGGAGATGGAGAAGGTGGAAATTTGAGGGTCGCTACGTGAAAATCTTCCAATTTCATGCTTTCGAGTTTCTTCTGATTGCGCTGGGTGGTTCGGATAACACAGCTGGGGCAGTCGCCTTCGTCTCTGTGGATTGGTTCTGAGAAACGGAATTGGCAGTCTTCGGGAGCAATTTTCATGCTTAAGGAGCGGGGGCAAGCTTCGACGGACTTACTCAAGCATCCGCAAGAGTAAGTGATGGTCATCTGGCGACACATGTTGAAGAGCTGAGATCGTTTTTTGTGATGGTGATGTAGGCTTGGGTTGGCTGTAAATCTGTGAATAGGATCTGAGAACTGGAATGGTTTGAAGAGAGAAATAATGTAAATAGAGGAAAATGAACCCATTTATATTTGAAACCATGTTGTTGTTTCGATATTATTTGAACAGATATGCATCAATTGGAAATACTGAGCTGGTCAAGGGAAGAAGATACCACTAAGTTCATTCCTAGTTTGTAGTGGTACTGTTCTTTAGATTGAATAGGACCTGAAATACGATGAGCGTCAGTCTAGACTGCCCACGTAGGAAGATCACTACTGCAGCGATCTGAACACCGCCGGCTTGGCTATCAATTCGATATTTTGCAGACACAGCAGACTTTGAAATTCAGTAAAAAGACAATCCTGACGTTCTATTGATGGATTAAAAACAGTTAATTTGAGGTATTCGTCCAGCTATTTCGAGGTGCTGTCGGATTAGGCTATGACGACATGCTTCAAAACTTGAATCTAGACTCCCAGACACAATGGCACCACCTGATGTTATTTTTTTAAAAATTGGATTTGCATCAGTGGTTCACAATTGGAAAGATTCTGAATAACAGCTTGCTCCCATCGCCTGACCCGTGATTACTCCAACAATATTTGACATACGGTATCATATTCATCCATTGTTTCCCAAAAGGAAATGGCTTCCGTTAACCAGCCGATTCTCAGAAACCTTCATTAAGAGCATGTGCAGCCACAATACATGTGTTCCAGCGGTTGCTACATTATGAATTCTCATAAACATGTCTCCTCGTTCCTTACAGATATCATTTTCTTTGTACAGAGATCTCAGAACAGATTCGAAACAAACGAATTCTCATAATTATATGAAGGACCCCTTCAACTCTCTCCATATTCTCCCAGGCAGATTTCAATATCAAGCAAGACATAGAACCAACCAGAACTATATCAGATATTGAAACCACCTAAAACAATCAACTTATCCCCATAAGTACAAATCTCCCCAGAAAATCTTCAGACCAGCAAGTGCAATCATGATGAATTTCATCGTCTACTTCATCATCTGCTTCCTCGCAAGCATCGCAATCGCGGACACCCACAACGTCACATTAGTTGAGGGAATCAAGCTTTTCGAGTTCTTGCCTCCAGGAGCACCAATCGACCTAGATGCATCCGGAATCGTCTTTAGACACGTCTGGTCTCCATTTCAATGGTCACTTCATTGATTTGCGGATTGGACGACCTGTCCAACGATATCGACTGCTTATGGACTGCCCGCTCCACCCAAAATCCGATCTTCACACAACCAACCTGTAAGGACTTCGTCTTTGAGCTTGAGAGCGAAGGGAAATTCCGACAAACAGACCTCGAACCGCTCTATGTCTCGGCCAAATCTAACATCATCGAGGTTAATCCACTAATCGTGCCAGCTGACTACACCGAGATGGAGAAGAAACTAGGCAGCCCCTTTGTCGCTTTCTCAATCAAAGTCAATTGTATGCGAGAATATGGACCAGAATCGATTCTTTGGTGCGAGCTATGAATTCACCAGTCGAAAGGAAACTCGAGAGTTGAGTGAACGCGAGTCGTACATGCGAGAGAGAAAAGAAGAGCATGCTTGAGGATCATCTAGATTATCTCGAGTCCAGATTGAAAACTTTCCCTTATTTTTCGCACCTAAATAACGATTGTTCTTTGCAGTGAAAGCGCACAGATCAAATCATAATATGAAAAGCCTGTCATGGCAATAAACTACAAATTTTTTATACTCTAAAGTGAATCCATCCAATGAAAAGCAATTTGAACAGAGTCGAAAATGAAACCAGTACTCCAGTATCGAATACATTGCACTTGCAAAAAGTACGCTGATACAATCCTACCTTATTGCTTCAACATCCCTATTTGATATGATCCTCAGAGTGAGATTCTTGTAATATCTCCTTGCTTTGGAAGATTGCCCCAGTATAATCGCAAATGGTAGTGCTATAGGTATCACTATGTTATAGCTCTGTTATAGTCTCGACTCCTAGTGCAAGAAGCAACTTGTTCTCTGAATCAATGGGCACAGTTCAAATGACACTACTCGCACAACTTTGTGTCAATGTTTGATACTTGTCTCGGACTTCTGAAATTTTTCGATATGTTCATTATCTTGAACTCATGACAAAAATCATCTACAAAACTCCACAAGATATTTAGACAGCGAGTAAAATCAAAGGTGAAAAGTTCAAGATAGATGTAAAAGGTGAAAGAGGATTTCTCATTTCGAACATGAACTCATAAACATACAAAACGCCGATGACCCAAGGCTATATACAAAAACACCACACCCCGTCCCATGTAGAATTATTCATTCCATCTGTGATCCAGCATTTTAATTCATCCCTTTAATCCGTATTTCATCATTTACATCTTCAAATCCTTTGGTGCTAAGATAATGTTGTATTCAAGATCCAATTCTGCCTTGGGGTCACCGTGGCGGGACTTGAAGTCAACGACAAGATCTGGCTTGACAGCAAAAACGGTATCGTTGATGAGGTATGGATCGGCGTTTGGGTAGATTTGAGTTGTGACTGACTTGTAATTTTCGTTCGAGATCTGCGGGTTCCTGCATTAGTTTACCAGTCATATTAGAGTATGTGGAGTAACTTGCCATCAAGTGAATGTGAGCAGGTCTCATTGGGTGGCGATCGAGCAATTTCAAGAGGACACCAGCTGGTCCATCTGTTGGCAGAGAGTAGGCAGTTGGGTGAAGACAGTAGAAGTGATATTGTCCGTTCTCATCAGTTCTGAACTTTCCTCTCAAGTTGTTATCGGATTGGTTTTCAGGGTCTTGGAAATCGTATTTTCCGTTGGCAGATGCTTGCCAGATGTCAACGACTGCGTTTGGAATTGGCTTCTTGGTAACCAAATCGGTAACGGTTCCGTGCATCAAAGTAGTCTTTCCACCTGCAGGTACTGGGTCCTGGATGATGCTACCACCAAGTGGTCTAAATGGGGCGTTGGGGCTCCAAAAAGGACCAAGAATTGAGGAAGATGTGGGGGTCTCGCCAGACTCGGTCATAATGTAGTGTGCAATTTCATCGACGACACTGAGAACATTGTTAGAAGTGAAGGTGGGGTAAGCGATTTCGTTACTCACGATTCCAGTCCGAGAACATCGGAAATTCTGTGACCTTCATTTCTGGTGGGGGTACTGATTTGTCCGATAGTGTTGACGAAGTTGACGCCGGCCAACCATTCGTCAATTGTGAGTTCGTTCTCTCTCGCAAAGTCATGGATGTGTTGGATGAGAGAGCCCATCAATTGTCTTGTTCGAGCGTCGGTCTTGGGACCGATAGACTTGATGACATTGGTGGTGAAAGTTGGGTCGAATCTCTCGAATCCCTTGGAGGTACCGGTAGTTTCTGGTTGGGTTGACATGTTGATATTGATTGACGAAGATGTGGATGGAGTGTTTGGATGATAGTACCAAAGGAGGATGAGATTGAAGAATGAATATAAAGAAGATGGTTGTGAACAAAATATATCAACTTACCTCGAGGAAAAAGGCCTACCTATATATGATTATTTCCCCAGGTACCCTCACGATATTCGCCCTAACGATAGGAACGAATCAACAAGCATCTTAGGAGTAGTCCGCAATGCCTACTCCAGAATTGGTGATCGAATGACCCCTCCAAAGTTCTAGCGATAGTTGAGACGGTAGTTCAGTCGGCTGTTAGTGTTAAAGTAATGTGGTTTAGCATCGAGAATAGCACGGCATTGATTTTCGGAAACGCTGCTACAGCTAACGCTAAGTCACGAGTTTGGCCGGAAGTATCTTTTGCCACATGAATTGTCCAAAATTATTCGACCAATGCTAATAGAGGTCTGCTATTCTCTTGGAAACTATCCGGGAAAGTCTTTAACCGTCAATTCCAAAATTCCCGTGCGAAGTCCCCGGATCACGCCCCGCACTCCTAGAACCTAGCTATGGCCCCGCTAACAGCAAACCAGGGGGTTGTGTGATGGTAATGCCTCGATAACAAAACAGTTTTCATTTCTCCAAGATAATATTACGGTCTTTTCCCGTCATCAGCTCATAAGTGAGAGGAGTCGTTACGAGATTCCAACTCTAGATTTCAAACTTGGTCAGTCGCCTTGCATTGGTTGTGACTTGTATGTTCCAAAATTCGTTTGTTCGCCGACTTCACCCTCTACAACCGAGAAGAATGCTTCATCATTTGATGGTGGGAACGTGGACCCCTCCAGGTGCAATCTTTACCATTGAGTTTGATGATGAAGCATTAACTTTGAAATTGCTCAAGAGAACACCAATTCCAGAAGATGAGCCAATTTCCTGGATGACTTTCGATGTAAGTGTGGATCGCTGTTGGGGAGGGGGGGGGGGGGGGGGGGGGGGAAGTCTAATGAGCGCCAGTAGGCTAACCCAACATCTTTATGAATAGCACGCGAAGAAGAACATATATGGAGCTTCAATGAAGAAGTGGTCAAGTCATTCTGTTACAAGCCCTGCAGAAATCCAACATACTACTTCACATCCTATGTCCCATGACCGTATGTAACTTCCTCGGTCGCTATATTCTTTGCGAAAGATTCTAATTGCGTTTGCAAATAGCATCCGCATCGAAAGTCGACACGAGAACGAGAGCAATTTTCTGCTTAGCATCAAAGAAAGCACCCTATAATGTTTACGGCAATCCATTCTACGAATTCGCTGGACATGGAAATGTTTTCTCTGTCGATGAAAAAGGCGCACTGAAGGAGAACATTCAAAATTATGAATATAGTCCCGAATCTGCAATACATGGCATGGTATTTGACGCAGAAGAGAATTATCTTTATTCTGCGGATATGTGGGGGAACAAAGTATGGACACATAAAAAAGATAGCCAGACAGGTTTACTTGAATTGGTGGGAAGTGTAGATGCGCCGAAGAAAGGAGATCATCCTCGATGGGTCGAAATACATCCAAACGGAAGATATCTTTATGCTTTGAACGAAGCAGGAAATAATCTGGCAGTTTATGTTATCGACGAGAAAACTCATCTGCCAGTATTCACAAACATTACATATCCTCTGGTACCCCCAGGTATGCGTTCCTCCTTCATTCGTTTTCACAGGAAATTCCCGCTTGGCGACTAACTTTCATTAATAGGAGTTCCGAATTTGAAGTTATATCGATCCGATGTTGTTTTCATATCACATAGCGGAAGATATCTTTTTGCGACTTCACGATCGAACGATTTCAAGGTTACAGGTTACATAGCAACATTCAAACTCGGACCAGCTGGAAATATCGAAAGGCAGATTTGTCTGAATCCAACGCCAACCAGTGGAGGTCATTCAAATGCAGTTAGTCCTTGTCCTTGGAGTGATGAGTGGTTGGCTTTGACAGACGATCAAGATGGTGGATTTGAAATTTATAGATGGCATGAGGAGTTTTTGTATAGGGTTGCAAGAATTGATATCCCAGAACCTGGTTTTGGCATGAATGCCATTTGGTATGATTGAAGAATATGAGAAACAAAGATGAATGATACTTGTTACTTAGTATACATTATGTAGAGTGTAAATAATAAGTTGGTTGAAATGTAATTTTACAAAAAAATAATCCGAGTGTTTCCTTCCACATGATTACCTAATTTAATGCCTTAAAATCTCCAAAGTTAAGGCATGAATTTAATCCCCTCACTTGGAAAATGCCGGAGAAGTTTCCGTATCAAATACATACCGGATTTCTAACCGCTGTTCAACCACCCTTGAGCCATCCCTCAATAATATGGGGACGATATTTCATCGCGAACAGACATGGAGGGGCAGATATGGCCATGTGAGACGGTTAAGTCTTCTGCCCCCTTAATCATCTCGGTCTCGTCCACAATGCGAACTCATTCGCAATTCACCTCTAGGAATCCTCTCATCAAGATATCTCTTACTTATCCAAACGATTGAGTTCCATAATCAAGCCTATCCACATAAAAGACTCGAAACAGCATCATTACAATATCCTCAATCATGGCACCCATACCCGGTATTCTGTATGTTACCATGCAGCCTCAAGAATCTCTTCCAGATTCTCAATGGCACGACTGGTACAACAACGAACATGGACCTCTCCGATTACGTCTTCCCTTCATCGCAAATGGTTTCCGCTACCGCGCAAGCGACTTATCATCTGAGAAGCCAGCCTCTACATCTCATCCAGAATGGATGGCCATTTACGATGTCACAGATATGGCAGCCATGAACACCGATACCTATCTTCGACTCCGCGGGTCCGAAGTAAAGACCGATAGAGAAAAAGAAACAATGGCACAGATTAAGGTGGACAGGAGATTATATGATTACATTAGTGGCAAGGAGATCGACGGATATAAGAATGTGGAGGAAGTGGGGTATGATGAGGGGAATTACGTGGTGACTTCTACAGCGGAAGTCAAGGAGGAATTCGATGAAGAATTCAATAAGTGGATGGAAGAAGAGCATTTATCAATGATTGCAAAGATTCCAGGTTGGAGACGTACAAGGCGCTTTGTTACAAGCAGTATCTTGGGAGGCAAAGAAGGAAAGGAGTATTTGAACGTAACTGAATTCGCTCCTCAAAACGACGCATTTGGGGAAGCATCTAAAGCTGTTGGTCAGACTGAATGGGCCAAGAAAATCACATCGACCGCATTGATGTCCTTGAACTCTAGACAATACAATTTATACTACACATTCGGTGCCGCACCCCGAGATATCTCTAACTTTTCGAAATCCTATTCGACGAATTGGAAATCGATTGACGGAAAAACAAGCACTGGACCAAATACCATTGCTGAAGGGGGAGCCATCGAATCATACATCACAACAAAAGATGGGGTTGATCTTGCATACCGACTCGAAGGATCTCCTGACCCAACCGCTCCCCTTATTATCCTCAGCAATTCCATCCTCGTAAACTACTCAATCTGGACACCCTTCATCCAAACATTCCTTGCATCATCCACTGGCAAAAATTACCGTATTCTCCGCTACAACTCCCGTGGCCGCACATCCAACGCCGGCTCTTTACCCGTAACCGTTGACCTTCTCGCTTCAGACATCATCCACATCCTAGACACCCTGCGTGTCCCCAAAGCAGCCTGTCTAATCGGTGTCTCACTCGGCGGCGTCACCGTTCTCAACACCGCACTCAAATACCCCCATCGCGTTAATGCTTTCATATCCTGCGATACAAATGCCTATGCTCCTCCATCCAACCCCAAAGCCTGGGATGAGCGCATCGCGATGTCAGCCGCCGAATCTGCAAAATCGTCCAACGGTGAACAGATTGTAGGCTCGGAATTGGCGGAAACCACAACGCGTAGATGGTTCGTAGCAGAAAATTACGAGAATGAGACGTTGAAAAAAAGATTCGAGGATGTGAAGAAACAGGTAGAGAAAAATAGTTTTGAGGGGTTCCAGAAAGGTGTGAAAGCGCTTTATCAGTATGATATCAGAGAAGAGATGAAGAATCCGGGGGTTGAAAAGGCCTTATTTGTGGTTGGTGGTGGTGATGGGGTTTTACCAAAGACGATGAAAGAGATGGCGGGTAATTATGGGAAGGGGGTTGAGTGTAAGGTTATTGAGGGTGCGGGACATTTACCGATGGTGGAAAAGCCGGAGGAGTTTGCTGATGTTGTGGCTTCATTTTTGAGTTAGCTTAATATACCTGTGGTTAGTTTAAAGTGGTTACTAGATGATTGAATGTTATCATTACAATTCATCAATATTTTGGCTTTTCCTGTGAACTCTGGGTTTTGCTATGCAATGTTTTTGTGAATCTGTAGAATTTTCAACCTCACAATTCCGAGACTAAAATCATATCACAAATTTCTTGCACGTTGCCAGACAACTTTCCAACTCAACTGCACGCAAGTAAAGTAAAAAGATCGTATCAGATGTAACCTTCATTCCATTATCTATGTATGTACCTATGTACCTAACTACTTTATATCCATCCGTCCACAATTCCCAATTCCTAATAACAACCCACCCTCCATCACACAGCTACCTCCCCACTATTATACTCTATACACTACACACTACACACTTCACACTTCACTCCAATATAGATACACCTCAGATAAATTCCTCAAAAAGAAAAAGAAAAAGAAAGAGAAGAAAAGCGAGAGAGCTAGCTATATACCAAGATCTCTTCCTTCCGCGATACGATTTCTCCCCCCTTCCTCATCGCGTATACCTCAATGGAATCTTTGCTCGCCGTGCTGTTCTTCTCACTGCGAAATCTGGTGTGTCTTCGATGCTATTGCCATCGCTATCTTTATCCTCACTTTCTTCTTCAGTATCTCCCATGTCGATATCCGAATCCGGAGCTCGCGGTATTTCCTCGTCCGCATCGCTATCTTGTATCATATTGTCTATCTCATCGTTGTTGAGACTGCGATTGCGATTGCGATCAGAACCCATCATCTCATCCCCATCCCCGTCCCCATTCTCCTCCTCCCCAGGATACGCAACACCCGACGGTCCCACAACCTCATATTCACGAACCTTCGCCTTCTTACTCGCTTTCCTCGGTCTCCCTTTCTGCCAACCCTTTCTCTTCGCTGCAACCGTTCCGGGCACCGTGCCTTTCCCATTATTTCCACCCAGTCTATTCAATGTAGCTTTATTCGACTTGGGAGTCTTTCCTTTTCCCTTTGCGCTTTTCTTATTCAAGCCGTATAGTTCCGCGAACTTGGGTCCGTAGTCGAAAAGGAGTTCTTCCCCAATGAGAATATCACGAGTAGCGCGGAACGCAATGCGATGCTCTCCATTCACCAAGAGAATCTTTGCAGCGCAGTTCATTCCGTCGGCTTCTGATTCCGCATGGTTTATGAATCTTGTTTTGTTGCCCATCCGCATGGCATCTATCGTCCATTCTTTATTCAAGCTAAATAGGAAACTCATAAACTTGGCATTGTACTCCACTCCCCTGCGTTCGGTTTCGTTATCAGAAATTAATTCTCCGGTGTATTCGCTCAGAAAATCTCCTTTCTTGACAGGTTCAGCGGTGAAAAGTCCAAAGCCAGCCCCCTCGATTGGTGATTTTCCGAGAATCAATTTCTTATTCACGCCCCGCTGCAAGGCGATATTTTGACATCCATACTGGAAAAGTTCGTTCTTATGACGGCTTTGCGGTCGTATTCGAGTAATTGCTCCACAAGTATTGCATTGATCGCCGCATTCGCGGTTCATTTGAAAACAAATGCATGTATCAGAAGCGCAAGCAAGACCCGTCGAATGACAAGAACAACCCGCGAATCGTCGTTCACAGCGATCTGAACAACCACAGAATTGTTCGCAGAGGAGATTGTTGAGAGCGCAATAACATTTCATCTCCCGACTACAGGGCCCTTCGTGTACGCAAGGAACAGGCTGGGAACGTAGTTCGTGCAAGTGCGCCATGGTGCTATCTTGCCAACCCGGTTTGAGCCCGCGATTGCGAGGTACAGCTTTGGGATTGTACCACTCTACTCGTTCGCTTGGCTGGTGACTCTTGCTCCTGCTCAGAGGGGTTTTGTCCTCGAGCTCCAGTATTTTGGAATAAATCTGCCAGCAGGGCTTTTCGAGAATCTCCACAAGAACGCATGGCCTACTCGGTTTAATAATGAGTGCGTCTCTCAACTCATTTGATTCCTCTTCAGTCCAAGAATAGTTCCTCCAATCTTTCCATCCCCTATAGCAATCATCACTACATGCTTCAACAATGTCTTTGTCTGTGTTCCAAAGCTCCGGATGCCAATCCTCATCACTATGATCTCGGCCGTTATGTTTCCGTAGGACATCCGGCAAATGCATGATAGATTTCTCCCACGCGTACTCGTAATCAGATTTATTGAAGTGTGATTGTTGAGGAGAACCGATATCGGAGGAATTCTCTTCACTAGGAATGTCCTTATTGATCTTTTGATAATTATACTCACCATGCGTTGTACATGCAGCACCTTGGCATATTAAACAAGTAAATTGGGCCGTTGTCTCTAGTCGAGCTGATGGTTCGTCAGATCGTTTGTGCAACTCGGAAGTTGATCTCTCAATGTAAGCTTTGAACTGGGACTGAGACAGGACCACAGTTTCCAGATCTATCTTAAAGTATTCAGCCAATACCTCAGCGACCATAGCCATTCTCTTCAATAAATGGCCAGATAGAGGACCACCAAGTGTTTTTAGGACCAATTGTTTCTCTCTGGTGGGATATGGTATTTTTTCAGACTGATGTCCCAAAAAGTATTGAACGAGCGTGTCCATATCACAATTGTTGTCGAATCCTATATTGTTTAATGCGACAACCACTCGCCTATTTATTTGGGTTATTCGTTCTTTTACTCTTGGGTTATCAAGCCTTTCTGTGTACGCTGTATTTAACTCCCTTTCGAATTTGTTCATAGCTTTCTCTTCATTCTGAACAACCAATGGAACATACCGCAGGATATCATCATCTCCTGTTATATGATTTCGTGTGACATTGATGTGATGAGTGTAGCTCGGCGTTCGCTTTACGTCACCATCTCCCATTGTTTGTGGGCATACAGAATTTGAAGTTTTCGCTTTTTTGGATGTCTATTACGGTTAGCAAATACTGAGTTACATGATTTCATTAGAACATACCCGTGTGATTAGATTGATAGCTTCAGCAAAAGTTTCATCTTGTGCCGTGAAAAATGCAAAAGGGTTCTCGTCATCATCATGTGAAAATATATTTGAAGCTGCAAGGGGCCGCAATTGTAGTTTCTCCAAGTGACGCTCAAGGCTAAATCCCCAATCTTCCATTCCTATCTCCCCTAGTCTTACCAAACTTGCTTTGATCTCCTTTGCGGATAACTCTTGCAATACCATGTCAGACGATGCATCTAGTACTGGAGACTTTCCTCTTGATCTCGGGATAGATGATGCCAATCGTTCGCGCCTCTCCCCTTGTTGCACTCTGAGAGAAGGTGGATTGGAGCGGGTAGATGAAGGCCTCGGAGTTACGTTGCTTGTTGTTTGACCTCTTTTCATTCTCTTCTGAAGTATTGATCGAACATCATCGTCACCATCATCAATGTTATCACCTATAACTTCTTCGTCGGTATTCTGAGCGCTCTCTCTTTCGATTCTCTGTTTTTCCCAAGCTGGCCCGCGCCTTGCACCGCCATGATTCCCCTTCTTTTGATAGGGACCCTTTCGGAGTTTTTGAATATCAACACCATTTCCCGTGCCTCTTCCCATTACTTTACGATTGGGTTCAGAGAGTTCATTTGTTGTAAATGAGCTGGGGCTCTTGTCTTGCTTTGCTGTTGATTCAGAAGACCCAGCTTCTCCTCTCGTCTGAAGATTCCACAAAAAACCCAAATCCTCTCGCAACTGGAGTTCCCTCTGAACTGCAAGATTGTTTTGACTTACAAATTCATCATTATCATTTTGATTTTGCTTGTCCGACATTCTTGATGTGGACCTTCTCGTAGAAAGTGGAGATTCTTCGATCTCGGGAGATCTAGAGTATTGCCTGATCGTCGCTGCAACTCTTCTAGGCACCAGTCTGGTAGGAACACTACTTGTAGCAGGGTCATTTCTCAGAGACAAACTGTCCGAAGGAAGCGGTGCAACAGCGTTGCTTAATGGGAGCCTTCCTGTGCTACTTTCATTGGCAATCTTTGAATCTAGCTTCGAGGGATCGGATGTTGGCTGCGCAGTAGCCTTCAGACTTGACTGCTGTCCCATACCGTGGGAAAAATTGGAAGTGACTGTTGGCTTTGTTGCGGCTCTGAGACTTTTTGATGCTGCTGGCGTTGATTCAATTGGACTGAGCGTGGAAGTGTTGTTATTTTGACTGAAATCGGAGCCAAGTGCACCAACTAATCCCGAATCAGACTTTCGATGTGAGACCACTGACTTGCGGGCAGTGCAGTTAGTTTCTTGTCGTAGAGAAGAAACGTTGCTTGCAATCCCCGCTCCATTAGACTTCAAGCTCGAATGCGATCTTCTATTTATAAAATCATTGCTACGCTCACCGCTACTCTGCTTTGAAATTGATTCTGATAGGTTTTTATGGAATTCATCGTCAGATTCTCCGTCCGATGAAAGGCTATATGTCCCCCCAGTTTTATACTTTTGTGTCTTTACTGGCAGCTTTTCTGCCGATGTTGCTGAACTGCTCGCTGACAATTTGGCTGACTTCGTCTTTGCTTGTGAGTTTGACGGCGCAGAAGGTTCCTCATCAGACGATGAACACAAGTCAATGAAAGACTTGTTACTTTTCTCCTTGGGTATTTCTCTGGAGTTGTCCCTGGGAATTCTCTTGGATTTCTCCCGATGCTTCTCACCACGATTTCTACTGCGCTTCTTATCCTTATCACTATCGTCTGTGAGATCAATAAGTACTGATGGAGCTGGATAACCACGAATACCACCGACTGAGCGCGATGCGCTGCCCTCATTAACACCCGACATCTTGAAGCCGATTTCGCTTCAAATTCAATTTTATCGTATGTCGCGGCGATATGTTACCTCTTAGACAAGCAGATTCTGAAACTAGATATCCAACGCATGATCGTAAATCGAGTTTTTATTCGAAACAGACCTTTAATTACCTCACAAGTTGACAGGGGGAAGGGCAAGAAGACCTCAAGTAACGTGATTTTAAGTAAATAATTGGGAAGTGAATGATCTTACAATGCGATGGTTCGCGAAAAGTGAAAGTGTTATGATGTGAGGTATTGGAGGTAGAGTTCAATAAACCAAAACTTAGAGTTGAGATCTAAATACTACAGATCGGAGGAAGTCTGCAGTTGATCGTGTCGACCATATGATTCTGGAGTACGCGATCTGATACTCTCTTCGCGTCTCGATGCTGCTATCCACTCTTATATTGACTGGCCCTGGTAGATTTTAGAGTCTTGCCGTTCTATTGTCCATGAGTTGCGATATCTTATAGGAGGGAGGATGAAAAGAGGTTTAGAGAGAAATCGCTGTCAAGATATATTTATTTGCATAAAGAAACAGTTTTCTGATTGCTGCTCCCTAAACATGAGGGGATGAGAGAGTGAAGAAATCTAGAGGTATTGGATATTGCTTATTGGTGAGCAAAAAAGGCCTATGTTGTGTGATGTTGCACCAACAAATTTGATTATTACGTAAGCAATGGCAAAATTCAACGGCCGACGGGGGAGAAGTAATATAAGATTGGCATCAAGTTACAAATTAAGCATGAAAGGAAAACAAACAATTCCAATTCCAATTGCAAAGGTAAACATCAAAATTCTATTGACAGCTACTCTCTTCTCTGTATGGGAGGTATATATGGAAAGCCTCTTTTGGATTCGTGCAACCATTGTTCAACTAAGTATTGGACCTGGGTCAGACATGATCTAGTTGATCTAATAAAGCTTACGAGAACCTTTATGAAGTTTTGATATCAGTCTTTGTTTACTCTACACGATTCAAAACAATCCATTCTCCCATCTGTATCCCTTTCACCCTGAGTTCATTCTCACTCATGTACCTGAATGTAAGCTAAATACCAATTCCATACAGAATACTGGTAATGTTTCTTGTCCGCCTTGAATCTTCAACATGTTTTGGCTGGTCATTCATTGTTTGGTCGTGGAATTGCTCAATATGGATAGTCAGATATGAATGCCGCCGTACATTCCGACGAATCTCTTGGGATGTCTATTGAAATATCCGATTTTAAAGGGTGAGGGCTCATCTGTTATATCAATGCCCTTCAAGGGAGAAAACGATTAAGAGAACCCGAAAGTGGAAAAGAGAGTAAAAGAGAGTAGTGCTATCTGGAAAATCGAATCGTACTTCTCGGCCTCTCACCCTGGACCTTTGAGCTCTTGATCAATGGACACGATCCGGTGTATCACCTGATCAGATTCATTTCTATTTGGTCATGTTATCACTTGTTAGAAGAGCGTCTTGATGAAGGTAGAAATTCTCATGTTATCACTTGTTAGAAGAGCGTCTTGATGAAGGTAGAAATTCTCATGTTTTCACTGCCTTCAGATCCTCTTCTGCACTTGAACATCTTCAATATTGATCGCCATCGCATCTGGAGAGATGTCATTACAGTGTCACGTGCACACCTCGGGTAGTGCCGAAAAGCGGAGAAACTCCCCTGCACCTGCCACCTCCATTCTTCGATCTGTCAAATTCTACTTGGCTAAGAAATAAGAAATTACTTACTCCACAACTTGATGTATACATCAGTTTATTGGGTGGAAAAAATATTTGAAGTTTATCCGTGATCTCGCGGGGGTAACCATACTTCGTACAACTGCTGTCGAAAGAAACCCACACCGTCCCGATCGAAGTTGTCGCCTGCCGAGGAATCTGCCAACAATTTGGTTCCTGGGGGACTTATGTGGGTTGATTCCCGTTGATTTATGTGATTGGCAAATTACGGTAGAACCATGTTCCCGAATTTCGAAAATTTAAAATGTCTTCGAGATCGCCAATGTACTACCCCTCCCAGAATCCATGTTCGGGCCAGAATCGTCCGATTCCTCTTGTTCTATTGGGCAGCTTAAAGATATGCATACTGGGTATATATCACCATCCTCGGTACAAACGACCTTGAACTACCCCGTAGTGGGTCGCTTGTACGAAAGGTATATTAAGCATTTATGAAGTCATGTGTGCGAAAAGTTGTGTATAAAAGAGCTTGATCCTAGATGTTGTTTCCTCGAGCAAGCAATCAGGTCCTTTGCTCATCTCCTACGCACCATGCTGCTGCAGTCACTATTTGCGTGGGCATTGACTCTAGGGTCATGCGTCGCCCAGAACAGTACGAATGTCACATGGCCAATACACAACAATGGTCTCTCTACGCAGATTGAATGGGATCATTACAGTATGATGGTCAATGGACAACGTTTCTTCTTATGGTCCGGCGAGCTCCACTACTGGCGAATTCCCGTGCCAGAACTGTGGGTTGATGTTCTACAGAAGATCAAGGCTGCTGGTTTCAATACATTTGCGATTTATACACACTGGTACTTTCATAATCCAAACCCTGAAACGCTCGACTTCGAGAATGGAGCACACGATTTCACAAAAATCTTTGACCTTGCTAAAGAATTGGGAATGGTATGATTTTAATGATCCAATTTCTATTTGGCAATAAAATGACTTGGCTAATCACATGTTTAGTATGTGGTGTTTCGCCCAGGGCCTTATGTCAATGCCGAATCCAATGCTGGAGCTTTCCCATTATGGTTGACGACTGGGGCTTATGGTGCTCTTCGAAATAATGATACTCGCTATACTGAAGCCTGGACACCTTTTTGGGAAAAAGTTGCCTCTATAGTTGCTCCATATCAGCTTACCAACGGAGGAAATGTTCTCACTTATCAAATTGAGAACGAGCTGGGCTCACAATGGCGTGGAACTCCATCCGAAAAAATACCCAATTTATCTGCCATTCAATACATGGAGGCATTGGAAGCCTCTGCACGAGCTCAAGGTATTACGATACCATTCCAATCCAACGATCCTAATCTCAACTCAGACTCGTGGTCAAAGGATTTCTACGATGGCTATGGTTCCGTAGACGTCTATGGTTTGGATTCCTATCCAGCATGCTGGACTTGCAATTTGACTGAGTGCGATTCCACAAACGGAGCATACAAACCTTTCAACGTCATCGATTATTATGATCATTTCGAAGAAATTTCGCCAACTCAGCCATCATTTCTTCCAGAATTTCAAGGTGGTAGTTTCAACCCTTGGGGTGGCCCCGAAGGTGGATGTCCAGAAAACTCTCCCCCCGATTTCGCAAATCTCTTCTATCGTAATAATGTTGGACAAAGAGTGACAGCCATGAGTCTTTATATGCTTTACGGAGGAACCAACTGGGGTTGGTTAGCCGCTCCTGTTGTGGCAACTAGTTACGATTACTCGAGTCCAATCTCTGAGAACAGAATGATCAATGACAAGTATGCCGAAACCAAATTATTCGGTCAATTCCTTCGTGTAGCCAAGGATTTGACAAAGACTGACCGAATTGGCAAAAATCAAACTGCATCTACCAACCCAAATATCGTGTATTCCGAACTCCGCAACCCAGATACGAACGGCGCGTTCTATGTTACGATTCACCAGGAATCTACAGTTGGTACTAGAGAGGAATTCTACATTCACGCTAACACATCCAAAGGGGAATTCACAATTCCTCAAAAAGCCGCGCCTATTGTTTTGAACGGTTTTCAATCTAAGATCATCGTCACTGACTTCAGCTTTGGATCTCACTCGCTATTGTACTCTACAGCTGAAGTTTTATCTCATTCTGTTGTGGATGAGCAAGATATTCTAGCTCTCTGGATGCCAACTGGTGAAGCTGGCGAGTTCGTAGTCTCTGGTGCGAAATCCGGCAAAGTTTCCAGCTGTCGAGGTTGTTCTTCCGTTGGCTTCTACCCACAAGGGGAGGATCTCCTCGTTACCATCTCTCAATCCGAAGGTATCAGTATCTTGACATTTGATGATGGACTTCGTGTTCTCGTCATGGATAGATCATACGCATATAAGTTCTGGGTCCCAGTTCTTACAGCGGATCCATTCAGTCCTGCGAACGAAACTGTTTTCGTTCAAGGCCCAAGTCTAGTCCGAAGCGTTGCCTACTCCTCTGATGGTACAGCTTTGGAGCTCACCGGAGACAACAATGGAACTTCGACACACATCGAGGTCTTCTCTCCCAAGGCCGTAAGCAAAGTCACATGGAACGGTCAATCCATCACCACAAGTAAGACAGACTACAGTAGCTTGATTGGTAGTCTTACCGGCCCTACACTTGATTCCTTGACTTTACCAGATATTTCTGGCTGGAAAGCAAATGACAGCTTACCTGAACGTCTGTCTACTTATGATGATAGCTGGTGGGTTGCTGCCGATCACATGAACACTTCCAATCCAACCAAACCCGAAACACTTCCAGTTCTCTACATAGATGATTACGGATACCATGTTGGAAATCATCTCTGGCGTGGAAGATTCGAAGGCTCAGCAAGCGGAGTGTATCTCAGCGTCACTGGAGGTCGTGCCTTTGGCTATAGTGCGTGGCTGAATGGCGAGTTCATCGGCTCATACCTAGGAGCTGCTTACCCAGATACAGGAGAATTGACACTTTCCTTCAGTAATGTCACTGTCAACTCAAATTCTACCAATGTTCTTCTCGTTCTACAGGATAACTCTGGTCACGATGAGACCAGCGAGGCACTCAATCCACGAGGAATCAATAACGCAACCTTAATCAGTTCTTCTGCCAAGAATTTCACATCATGGAAAGTTACCGGTACGGCTGGTAAGCCAGATACAGCAATCGATCCAGTCCGTGGTATTCTCTCAGAGGGTGGTCTCTACGCCGAACGTCTCGGATGGCATCTTCCAGGTTTCGACGACAGTGAATGGTCCTCCGCATCCCCAAGCAACGTATCTTCTTCAGCTGGCGTAACATTCTACCGCACCACCGTTCCTTTAGCCATTCCTACAGGTCTCGACGTGGCAATATCTTTCACACTCAAAGCTTCACCCTCAAACGCAGCTCTTCGTGTCCTTCTTTTCGTGAACGGCTATCAGTATGGACGATTTAGTCCTTGGATTGGAAATCAAGTTGAATTCCCGGTACCACCTGGAATCTTGAATTATGACGGGGATAATGTTATTGGTTTAAGTGTCTGGAAACAAGAAGAGGGTGGTGAGAGTGTCGGTGTTGAGGTTGGATGGAAGGTTACAGGGGCTTTTGCAAGTAGTTTTGAGCCCATCTTTGATGCAACATACTTGCAACCGGGATGGACTGAGGAGAGATTACAGTATGCTTGATGGCTGAATCTTTGTATTAATGATATTATTCATGATTTGATGTATTATGCAGAAAAATATTTATAGTAAGATTGAAAATTTGTGTCGATATTACGAAAGTTATCTGTGGCAACTTTGATTTATGATGTTGTTTTGGAAGTACAGCGCTTGTCTTTTTGAAATTTTCGCGTTTTTGTTTCGTGTCATTTGATATTACTGACTAACCTCTGTAGCATCCCCAAGAGGTGTTTGTCAGTTGTATAAGTGGAGTGTATCGCAACTTTCACGCTCACATTTCAAATTTCAAGATAAGAACCATCATGCGACTCAGGTTCATTACAATTATGCTAATATTCTTCATCCATCAAAGCCCTCTAGGGACAACCATTATATCCACCGAATCTGCTCTAATACCAGCAGCATCATCAGTTCCCCATCTCTCAACGCCAAGCAGTTTTCCATCGCCATCAACGACTCGCTTTAACCTTGCTAATAAAATTCATCACCCATGTCCTCTCCTCAATCGATTCCATTCCCAGTTTATCTTCCTCAAACATCCATTCATGATCTAATCCATTAGGCATAATGACTCTCACCTCCGGAACTCTGATCTCCATCTCCGCCGTCCTCGCATTTCCCACTATCCCAGAACTCGCATCCATCCTCTCCGCATCGTCGTCAATTTCCTCTTCCCCATCAATCTCCTCCACGCTCCTCTCAAAACATCCTCGAATAAACTCCTTACACTTCTTCACATCTCTCCTCGTCTTCAACCCCATCGCTCCCCCCTCCAAAACAATCTCCGTCAGATTTCGAAATCGAATATCCATTCTTGGCGCTCGGTAAATGCGTTTCCAATCCCATGCTCGCGAGGGAATATGTAATGAATGCAGAATATCAAAATGTGTATAATCCACCGACTTTCGCTTTCCAAAAATAGTCTGCTGCGTATCCGAGTCGTAGAATTCAAAAATGGTACTGGTGAAAGGGAGAGTGGGATGGTGATCGGTGGAAATCTGATTTAATACCACGCTATCGACACTAGGATCGAAAAACGGATAGTGGATCTTCTCACTTTCATTCTGATTTTGGTATGGCGTACCAGGGATATAGAAATGTGGATGGACAGAATAGTGATGGAGTGTCGCGGAACGCGATTCCTGATTGATGCGGAAGGTGATGGGGCTGGGTGAGCGACTGAAGATGCGGCCGTTGGAGATGGTGATAAGGATTGTGCGGGAGCGCGCGTAGGTCCAGATTAGATGGCGGATTTTGGAGGGGAGGGCTGGGAGGGTGTGGGTGCGGGTACTGGGGTGGATGGGTGGCGTGGGGGTGTTGAGAATGTAGGTTAGTGAGTAGCGGGGATCTTGGGATGGTTGAGGTGGTTGAGGTTGAGGAGAAGGTTGTGTAATCGGTGCAGGAACAACGGCAACTTTATTGCCTTTGCCAGCACCATTCTTGCGCGCGCGTTTCGTCCCTCGATTCCGAGATGGAGTGGAAGAAGCCATAGTCGCTTGCCTATAAGGCGAAACGTACGGATGCGGATTCGGGATGAGCGATGAGAGATACGCTCTTGTCCGAGGATTATTATTATTTTGCAAGGGTGACGAAGAACTCGGAACAACCGGAGAAGATGGCTCGTCCATGGATTTATACCGGCGGAAAGCGGGGTGAGCGCGTGTGCTATATGGTGAGATGTATCTGCGTGTGGTTTGGGAGCGAACCCATTTGTGGGCGAAGTATTTGTAGGAGGAGGGGGGGTTATCTTTGTCTCTTTGCATTTCTGGGGAGAAGGGGAAGATGGTTAGTTTGGGTGTTGGGATGTGGAAAAGAAGTTTTTTTGATGGGAGAAGGGAGGAAGGAGGAAGAAATCTTACTTTCTTTCTTTCTTTATTTGTTTATTTCATGAAAATCTCAGACTGATGTATATCAAAATGATCAGAAAGTTAAAAACTTTGTAGTAAAGAGATCCTTTACACTCAGTTCGGATCGAGATGTTCTTAGAACAGGTTATGTCTCTAACACTCTTCAAATTGAGATTGGGACTTCGAAAGTGAAGATTGAAGAAGAAGAAGTCGGATGCGAAATTTGAGAATATCAACAGTGCGAAGTTCTGTTAGCGAAAATGGGATTACCGAGAGATTTCTGAATAGGTAGATAGTGAATATTTGGGGTTATGGGAAAGCGAAGATGAGGTGATGGGTGATGTGGTTCACTTTGAGCTGGGCTTGGGCGCAGAATTTTGGAAGTGAATGATCGGTCAGTTATATATGTGTCGCAGATGATATGAAGGGAATGGAAATGAGAGTTGGAGTTGGGATTGTATCTTCTTTTGGTGGCAGGAAAGGGCTTGAAAATCAATATATTTGTGAATGTTGCGATTCTTTCACTGTCTCTGTGAAAGTTATTATCGGAATCTGATCCCAATAATAGGTCGAAGCCTCTCCACGTCTATCAACTGATCTCAACAAGTCCAAAGATATATCCAGAGGTCAAGTAAGAAAGCAACCTGCCTACAGAGCTATCAGGTGTGTCTCATGCATCAAACTACAACACCCTTCTCTCCAGTAATTACTAGACATGAAAAACTTCCATTCCTCCTCTCAACAACTTCTTATAAGCCATAAAAGCGAGCCGATTCAGCCAGCCTCGGTAGTCAACTATACTTTTGGATTAAGTCTCTGGTGAGTGCGCTACTCCAAAAATAACGGGTATCTGACTGGATCTATGATCATACGCTAAAGTTCAACTTTCCAATCACCTCGCTTGTAGGTGAATGAACAGTTGTAGCAAACTGGCAATTTCTCCGCAGGGTTATGCATTGTGTGGAGGAAGTGAATGAGAAGGATGATCTTGGTCGAGAAGTGAGGATGGGGAGGAAGACGATTATTCTCAAAAAAGAAGCAAAATGACTGAGAATTTGTTGTTCTTATCGACCAGTATCTTAACTACCTTACTGGGAAAAGATATTTATCATTCTGCATTAGAAGAGCAAACTTCATCTCTCCATGCGAAGTTCAAACACATAACAGGACATGTAAGTTCATGGAAACGATATTATTAACTATTACCTATTACCACTACCACGACCAACAAACATAAAGCTATCCTTGCAAAGTTTTCAAGGCGTCAAAAATCCCCCAGCCTCAATAGCACACAGCAGCTACTCCATCACCAAAAGCATTCTGCTAATTATTCACCCACAGAAGCCAACCTAGAAAGCAACCATACTAGTCAATCCATCCAATTCTCTTTGGAAATTCCTGTGTTGCGAGATATTATACGTATACGCATCCAAGAAATTCTTTGCTCCTCTCACCATATTCAATCCCTCCTCGGTTTTGCTCAAGCCTTGTGCAGTCACAACACCGTACGAATCAACCACTTCGCTCGAAGTACTAAACGTCATACCATCAACTGCACATGCAATCTGTATGAGTTTGACACCCTCGCCAGTAGCTCCGATAGCTTTGCAGTGACCGAAGGCTTCGCGAACCCAGTGGATGACTCGTCCTTGTTTAAGTAGGGTAGAGACATGTTCGCCACCAGGGATATAGATCGAATCAAACATGGTACTTCTCATACCTTCGAAATGGTGATCTGCGCTTACGCTCTTGCCTCCGGAACTCTTGATTGGTTGTCTCTTGGGGCCGATGGTGAATGGAAGAGCGCCAGCTGCGGTCAATGCTCCCTTTACTGCTTCGTATTCGATGAAGTTGAACCCATCTGCAATGATGATTGCGACCATACGAGAAGCAATGGTAGCTGGTAAGCCGAGAGCTTCGGGGGTGAAATCAAATTGTGATAGACCCTTGGCCTTCTTGCCATGATTTGGACGTCCGGCTTGAGTAGGTGTGGGGGCACCTGCTTTCTCAGCTACAGCTTGTGCAAGTCCAAGATCGATATCAGTCAGACGCTCAACTATACGCTCATATACAACGGGGTCGTCGCAATGGTCAAGTTCAAAACCTAGAGCATTGATGATGTGAGATTTCTCAACTTCAGACATTGAGTTCCAGAACAATTGAGCTTGGGAGAAATGTTCCTTGAACTTGGTGGAGTTGAGTCGTTGTTTCATGGCTACAACCTTTTCGGGATATTCGTAATAGGCACCCTCTGATTGCTTGGATGGAGGAACAACACTCTCTCGGTTGGGCCAGTAGTTGATTTTGCCTTTTGTGATTCGGTGTCGCATTTGACCGTCACGGTGGTTGTTCATGACAGGGCAAACTGGTCGATTGACAGGAAGTTCTTGCCAGTTAACACCAAGTCTCGAGAGTTGAGTATCGAAGTAAGAGAAGTTGCGGCCTTGTAGTAAAGGATCGTCACTAAAGCCGATACCGGGAACAAGATGAGCAGTGCAAAAAGCAACTTGCTCAGTTTGTGTGAAATATTCATCGACATTCTTGTTGAGCTCCAGTTCACCGATATATCGGACTGGGAGAATGTCTTCAGGCCACACCTTAGTCGCGTCTAAGATGTCGAAGTCAAATTCATCTTGACGATTTTCGTCACAGACTTGGATACCAAACTTCCACTTGGGATAACATCCACTTTCAATAGCGGTCCAAAGATCTTTGCGATGGAAGTCTGGGTCTTGACCAGCAATCTTCAAAGCTTCATCCCAGACGAGTGAATGAACACCGAGAGTTGGAGTGAAATGAAATTTGACGAATGATCGTTTGCCTTCAGCGTTTATTAAAGTATATGTGTTGACTCCGAACCCTTGCATCATACGGTATGATCTTGGAATACCTCGATCTGACATGGCCCACATGAACATATGAGTTGCCTCTGTGTGTAGGAATTGGAAATCCCAGAAGTTATTGTGTGCAGACTGTGCTTGAGGGATCTCATTATCCGGCTCAGGTTCTTCGTAAAGTTAGTTACCAGGAATGTACGTTTTGAGAGGAGAGTACTCACTTCCGGCATGAATGACATCAGGAAACTTAATAGCGTCTTGAATGAAGAAGACGGGAATGTCATTTCCAACAACATCCCAGTTGCCCTCTTCGGTATAGAACTTCACGGCAAAACCTCGTACATCTCTGACAGTATCAGCACTTCCGCGAGAACCCAAGACAGTCGAAAATCGGATGAAAACAGGTGTGGTGCGAGAAGTATCTGTGAGAACTCCAGCGTTTGTGACATCCTATGCCTGAGATTAGCTTTGATTGTTTAGCATCGAGTAGAACGATGAGATACTTACATCAGCGCTCTCGTACAATTTGAAAGTACCAAAGGCTCCAGCTCCACGTGCATGAACAACTCTTTCTGGTATACGCTCGTGATCAAATTTCATAATCTTCTCTCTGCCAAAATTGTCTTCTAACAATAAGGGGCCTTGGCGATCGCCGGTTGAAGCAGATAGCCAATTGTCATGATTTCCGTGCTTGACACCAAAGTCACTGGTGAGAGGTTCCTTTGTATTTGGTTCCCTCATCTCAGGCAGCATATCTGCCGTCTTCCTGTCGGACATGGCGGACGATACTGCTGCTCCTGCTTTCTGGACTGTGGCTCCAATAACTGATTGCATTATTATGATAGAGATTGGGTTATGGTGAACTGAAGATCCAAACAAACTTCGACAATGAAGAGAAGTGAAGACGATGGACAAATAAATAGAAGATGCGATTCTTGGGCAAATGCCATAATTCTCGTCAAGCATATTACATCATGGGGTGACGCAGCTTTGCGGCGATAAGCGTATTGTGGAACATGTTCCCCGCAAAATCTTTTGTCCTCTTTTCTCTTTATAGAGAACTTTTCATCAAACAGCGAATACGTACAATACTGGATATTTGAAAAACATCCATGTTTTCATTGTCTCATTTTTAGCCATTTTTTGGGTGGGTTGTTGAGAAGGAGCTTGTGCTCCGTTCAAATGATGAATATAAGTGGCCGAGATATTCAGGTTGATGTCATGAATGGCTAAGCACAGAGTATTAGTCAGCAATTCAAGCCAATGAAAAAGGTTCTATGAAGGAAATGAAAATCTAAGGTCCACCATGTCTAAAGATGGATTCTTTGCTTCGATTAATCGTCTTCTGGTGCCAATCAAGAACTTTCCATCGATAACTCCGATCTTCTTGTTGTTTGTTTGGCTGCAGTGCAGGATCTATTCCAACTTCCAAATCTTGAGTCACTCTTTCGGCATTTGAACTGTATGAGAGTGGGATGAAAGAACGGGGTCGAAGAAAGCAGCGCGATAACACAGTGCCAGTGTCAAACGGCACTTACCAAACGGCTTTTGTAAACCTCGTACTGAATAACTCTTTTCCTCGATGGATATGGGCTTTCAAGAGATCGACTCAGTGGGGATAATTCGCAATCGATTTGCCTTTCTGCTTGGCTGTCGTAGAGCAGAGGTAATTTGACTAACCCATCGTCGGCTCTTTTCAATCCAAGGACGGCATATCAAGTGAGGGATGAGATTGGCAGGAGAAAAGGCGAGGTTCTACAAGAACTTAGACAACACGAAACGCGTCAACACGTGCTTGACAATCACGTGTACAGACACTATGTTCTGAGATGCAGTAAGATATCTCCAAGGTTAGAGAACTCTGAGTGTGCAAGTCGTGTTTCATCATTATTACTGCCTGATGAGTCAAAGTCTGAGAGAAAATTGCGTTCCAAATTTACCTTAAGAGAGAAGGCTAGATTAAATTACTGGTCCTGCATAGCAATCACGAATTTCTTTCCATCAAATTTTGCAACCTCCTGGTATGCTTCAACTGCATCTGTAAGTCTGATTTTGGTCAGAGAATCCTCCTCAGGGCCGTTAATCACTCCATCTTCGAACATTTTTCCCAAATTATCCATGATATTTTTTGTCTCAGCTAAGGCAAAGCTCCAGCTATTAACTCCATGTAAGCTTTGATCCATTGCGAGCATTTTCATGACATTAATTTTCGCTTCTGGTCCACCTCCTCTCATGCCAGACGCGAAAACATATCGCCCCGACTTTCCTAATATCGCAAGACCCTTCTCCGTCAAGACGGGAGATCATGCATAGTCAAGAATAATACTAGGTCCTCTTCCATTGTTCAACTCCAACACGTTATCTAAATTTCCATCCGATGTAACAATTACATCAGCACCATCTACCCTCGATGTAGTAATAATCTAGAGTCCCCTGACATTCACAAGCTCTATCGCAGCCTTTCCGACTGCTCCTCTGGTGCCAAAAATCAGGACCACATCTCCAGCACGTGCGGCAGCTTTCTCCAGCATCAAATAAGCAGTTGAGTATGGAACACCCGCAGCCGATGTCTGAGTCCAACCCGAGACATATAGGCTTCATAGCTAAGCCCTCAACGGGCACCGCGATATATTCGGCATGAGTCCCATCAGTAGAGAGACTCAGTTCTCGACCAGAAGTCCGTACACCTCAACACCCTCCAGTTGGGGGTAAGATGAGGCTTGAATCACTGTACCAGGGAAATTGTGACCTGGAATTATAGGTTTCTTTCCTCCGAATCGATCAAGGACTACGTTGGCAAGGTCGGAAGGATTAATTCCTGCTGCGTGCACGCGAATTAAAGCTGTGTTGGAATTCGAGGAAATAGTTGGGACTGGCAAGGATTTAAGACTGAGTTGGAGCTGCGCTGTTGCTGTTGCTGAAGATTCGGAGGCGTAGATAGCTTGCATTGTTTTTGGAAGACTGATGATGAATTTATTTTCATTTGACTGAATGCAGATTTTAGGAACGCGATTGTGAGGCTTGGAATTGTACTTATGTATTCGAGAGTGAAAGGCAACCAGGTAATAATTGGAAGCATTTGGAACCAGGTAAGGTATTCGTCAACATTACTTATTATGAAAAGTCTATAGAATCTTAACCTCTGTTTATGGCTCTTTTGCCGGGCTTCATGCTGCTGAGAGGCAAAGTGCATAAATTGATTATGCTGTAGGGTTTCGACCGGTACTACCTGAGTAAGTCTTTTTGGTTTGCTGGTTGGTAGTAGGTGAGCACCTGTATGGTTTGTCAACATAGAAAGGTATTGGTAGAGGTATAGATAGTATTCTTGGGATTCCAAGTTTTATAAATGATTTGAATGATTTGAATGATTAAATGAGACTGAAATACGAACTGATTTATTTGAACAAGATTAAGATTAGAATATCGAAATCATCAATTAGAATGCTAGTCGAAGCATGAATACATGGAACGTTACTATTTCATTGATATTCGAAATCCCAACATCAAATATATCCCACCCAATCAAAGACTCACCGCGATAATTCTAAGCCTAAAAGCATGCGTATAAGTAACAATCCTCCTCACCTTCAATCCCACACTCTCAAGAAGATTTATCCACTGCGCTTCCGTTCTCTCCATCGAACTAAATGCCGCTAGCATAGTCAAATCCGTCTGCGTCGCAAACCAGTCCACATTGTAATTTGGCAACTAGGCTGCGCAACGGGTACCCGCGGGGCGGATAATGGCCTCGACAGATAATCCGCGGATAATCCATCTGCAGAGCAGATAATTCAGAATCTGGACGGGTAATCTGTAAGATGAGTACAAATTACCTATGGATATTTATTTAACTTATTTATATATTATATAATTATTTATAATCTTTTATAATATTGATATAATTTTATAATTAATCTAGAAATAGCTTTATATTTTAAGCAAAAAAAAACGAAGATTCTCTACTTTTTTTGGAGAATCTATATATTTATGAATTATTTATAAATAATTTGTAAATTATTTGTAAATTATTTATATATTTGTGGATAATTTGTGGATTATTTGTATAGAGCGGATAATTTTAAAACTTTAACAAATAATCCGCAAAACAAGTAAAACCTCTGATGGATAACCCGCGGAGCGGATTATCTGCAGATAATCCACGGGTACAGATAATTTGTGCGCAGCCTATTGGCAACACCGTTTTATCGAGTAAGATCCAGGAATCTTTTTCCATGACTTGCATTATGTATTTCAGAATGAGAATAGCTTTATCGTCTAGATGGTCGTGGAGGATAGCACGCAGGTAGTCGGCTTTCGCACTTAGATGTATGTTAATTATTTTCTAGACTAAGCTTTTCATGACACCCCTTTTATAACCTGCGGAGTGTAGAAATCATGGACCATGGCCTCGAATCCTTCTAGTAAACCTTGTGATGCGGCATGCTCGATTTCTCAGGCTAGATCCTGGAATGTAACACGACCCTTGATATCCGGACATCTTTTCTGGAACTCAATACATTGTTGTCCTGAAGCTCCTCCTATATCAACAAAAAGTGGTTTCTCTGCAGGCTAGTTTCGCATTCCTCCTTGATTGGGAAAAAGTCGAAGGCGTTGGGTGTGCTGGATCGCTGTGCAATCATAAAGCGATTGAATTGTGCTGTTTCCTTGGGCTGCGATTGAAACCATGACCATAAAGGTAAGTCTGTATTCCAAGCTTTTTAAAACGCGGCTTTGTGAGTCTCTGGGAATTTGGTATTTTGTAGAAGCGAGAAAGTCCGGGAGAATCTGGTATGCGGGCCGAGAGCATCATGACTGTGACGGTAGGTATTGTGTCAGAGGGCATGGCAAAATGTGATTGAAGGGGATTCTCTTACTTGTGGTAAAGACCGGCTTGGATTTCGGCGATGGAGAGATTTTTACTTGTTTGGCTCGAAGCAAACTCATCCTCTCCCGTTTCTTTGATCATCTCTAACGATGAAAGCATGCGGAGTATCCTTGCTAGAAGAATATTAACACATGATAATCGTTGCCTGTAATTTCTCCTATCGCTAAATTTATATAAATAACCGACCGAGAAGCGCTGGGTCAGCACCAGTTCTGGAAGCCAAGTCCTGTAGCCCCATAGGGCCATCTGAATCGTCAAAAAAATTAAAAAGTTTAAGATTAACGGCAGTTCTAGTGATAGCGATGACGAGGTGCTGGAGAAGTGCAACCACTAATTTAGAAAGTGGCTTTTAGACAATTATCTGAGAGCTCATGTCTTACCAGATGGATGACTCTTTGCATTGTATCTTCGGGCTTTTCTATAGAATATTGTAGATTCCTCAGAGAACCCAATAATTCTTTGAGGTTAGCTTCATCTGCAGTAGCTGCTGCATTTTGTATCTCTTTTGTGAGAGTCTTGATTGCCTCCATGGTCGATTAAATTTTCCTATGGCGAATCAACAATTTTGAGTCGATTGGATAGCTACCACAGAAACAAGAGAAAATCGCTTCCTGTTTCCCGCTGATGGATAATGGACGCCTTGAAAGTTATAAGAGAAAAGTTTTCAAACTTATGAACAACTAGTTCTCACAGGTTACTGCCAAAAAGATCCCGTTTGAACAAAGTATCTGGGGACAGATCAAACACCCTGACAACTGAGCCGCTGGCCTGCATGGTAGGTTTTGCCTACAGTTGATGATCTTTGTTGGCTTACTGTTGCATTTACCTGCCAATAATGGCTTACTTCATAGAAAAAACGAGTATCTTCGCCAAATAATTGACCGTGTGTAATCGACTTTCTTTTCGCCAAAAGTGCGGATTGATGCTAATAACTTGCCGTGATTGAACCTGTTGCCACCGCGTTCAATTTGAACAGAATACGCCTGGATCAATCACGTCCTAAAAATAACAAACAAGCACAGGGAGTATCCTGTAGAGATTTGCATAATCTTCGACGGGCTAGAAGACAAGCCAGGCAACCCATTTTGGTGTCAGATTCAAACTTGTACGAGGCTGCGTGGAGAAGTGAAAAGATTCTCGACTACAAAGCGACATTGCATAAACATGCTAGACACCTGCAAGCCATGGGACTGCTATTCATAACCCTGTATGGAGGGAAAAAAGATGAGGTTTGTTGGGAGAATCGACAGTGGTTTAGCTTTTTATTGAGCATGTCATGTGATAATTTACTATCAGATTTTAACCATGAGTGTTCTTAACCAGATGATTAACATTACAATCTTCGAGGATAACAATGGCAACCCCAGTATCAAGAGGCCTCAGAGCTCACACAAAATCCAGACAAGGTTGCATGGCATGTAAAGCACGCAAGGTGAAGGTAAAGTCGAATGATGATACATATGAAAGAGATGTGAGCCGAGTTGCTGATCAAATCTGAAGTGCAACGAAGCACGCCCAGCATGTGATGCGCGCGTCCGCCGAGAAATATCATGTCAATATCCCGAACCAATTTCCAAACGACAGACAGAGGCAAGGTCTCCGTCCAATCCGCCTTATGATCTTGATCCTTCAAGAGAACTCGACATTACGGTGGGTCGTGAAACAAAGGAACGTCGATTACTTGGAATGCGCCTGCTTCACCACTTTTGCTCCGAGACCGCGCAAAAAGGGTTCCTTTCCATTCACGATGAAGGTGTTCGTGATGTTTGGACTAAAGGTGCTCCGACTCTAGCTTTCGATCATCCAGTTCTCTTGAATATGATGATTTCGATTGCAGCTCTACACCTTACTAAGATCAACCCAGCGGGTGAAGACATGGCAGATGTTCATCGGATATATTTCAATGCAGCTGTTCGTGAGCATCGTCAAGTCATACAGAATATCAACAAGGATAATGTCGAAGCTGTGTGCCTCTCTACAATTCTGATTGGATTGCCCGCGTTCATCCTCCTGCAAAACAGTAATATTGGCCATTACACAATTCCATCTCAAGTATTCGCTCTTCTCCGTGGAAATGTCGTTCTGTTTTCGCAGACAATCCCTATGCTTGATCCGAATAGTCAGCTAGAGGCTCTGATATCTGCCAAACCAGACATGAAGACGTCAATGAAAGATGTTCGTGATAAAACATATCACCAACCATTTTCGGAACTTTTGAATTGGAGGGCGCCGGGTGAGGTTATTGATGAGGAAAGCCAGGCTGCTTTTACTTTTGCATTAAATTATTGTGGACGCATTCTACTCGGTATCGAAGGTGGGGAGGACCTTTATGAACTTCGCCGTGTCATTTATGCGTTTCCGACAGTCGCACCCAAAGCATTCGTTCGACAATTGAACGAAAAAAGCAATCGTGCACTGGTTATTTTGGCTCACTTTTTTGCACTTTGCAAAGCTGCCGATAATGTCTGGTGGATGAGAGGAATTGCAGAAAGAGAGGTATTTGGTATACAATCCATTCTCCCTGAAAATTGGCAATGGGCAATGGCATGGCCTGTGCAAAAGCTTGCAGCGTACGCTGCCATTAATATGACAACTTCAGCTGAATAAGAAGGTGGTGATATGTCACATTTGGGCATTATTGTGTAGTTCAGACACGAAAGCTACTTACGGAAGTTAAAATTAATCTCCATCTTCGCTGAGAATGGCACCAACCCCGCTGCTGCCCAAATTTGTTTCCTGTATGCTATAATTCGGAAGGTCTGCGCATATGCCCTACCTCTCAGGTAGTTTTCGCAGAATCATCCCTGAAGAGGGCGGAATCTCAATGAAATTCCTAATCCAGAGGTGTGGCAGTCTGAAGGGCCTGCTGGACAACACTTGATATTGGATATATTCTACGTGACGGACCAGAACTGAATGATGCAAGCGAGTAACCGAACAACGGCTCTGAAATGAGACCTTGCCCATTTGCTGCTCATGCGAAAGCAGCCTTCGATTCACTCTCTTTTTTCGGGTTCTCGGAAGTGTGTAGTTCAGAAGCCTGCAATGGTATGAATGCGAGTTCTCTTTTCTAAATCGATTGTTTATTGGATTTGGCTCCTATATCAAACATTGGGACGCTTCTTAGCATCGATATATCATTATCTCAGAAAATTGGCCATGTCAATTTGTATTTCCAAATGAAATTGAATTAGAAATATCATTTTCTTTTCAAAACATTCAAATCAATCAAACTTCAAAGCATTCAAAACATTGACCAAGAGAATTTAAATTCATTCTGAATTTCTTAGGACTTAAATATCATCATTTCATTAAGACTAGAATGATAATATTTCAAAAATAAAATGATTGAAACTAGTTTATATTAGACCCCAAATAGCATTTTTGATATGAGGTATCAATGTATCAATGTTGCTATATGGGGTGGTTATTACTATAGTTTTTATTACATGTTGAGTTTGATCCAGCCAGGCAAGCAAGAAGAGGCGTGCCAATCATTCGAAGTAAAGATGATTTCATGTTTTACCGCTTCCGTTATCTTAGAAAAGGTGTCGAGTCCGATTTATTGAGCTCATGAGCCACCTGGCAAGAAAAGTTCGTCTCCCGCTGCATCTCCGATAAACAGTCCTAGCTGCCCTGCAATTCAGCTCTCTCAGGGCCCCCAATCTCAGCTATCACGTTGCTCGTGTTTCTAATGAAGTATTTTTTTGGCGGGTCATAGTAGGTTGGAGGCTCTGTTGAAGGTTCCGTAGAGGAACGTTGAGCATGGCGTTGCCGCCTGAAAAAAAGAAATGCCAGCCCAGCAATCGAGAAAGCTACAACTACAGAACCCACGGCAATCCCGGCTTTTGCGCCTCCACTCAGACCACTTCCCTCAGAGGTGGGTATGGATGCGGGTGTGGCTGATGTAGTTGAGATTACAGATTGTGTCGCCGAAGCGCTGGTGGTAGCTGTGCTAGAGGCCGACGAAGATATCTGGGTCGAGCGTATCGGAGTAGCAGATGCTGTCGAAGTTGATGAAGAGGCTCCATTAATGACTAAGAATCCAGTACTTGATATTTCTTGGGAGCTAGAATTATATTTTGAATTGAGATCCTTGAATCGCAGGACATATTTTGCATCTCTACTCAGAATGCTCGTCGGTATTGTGATTGTCCAGTCATACGTGCCATTATTAATTGTATTCACATTCTCTGGAAATTGCGGGACAATGAATCAGTAGGACGAACAAATTTTACATTGAGTTTTAGAAGTTGCAACGGTAGTGAATGTTCTTACCTGTGAGCAGCTGGCTGAATTGTGTTATCTCATAATCCCAGGTCGTAACCCACAGATTGGACAGAGTTTGAAATTGATAACCCTCTGGGACTGGATTCCAAGTAACCTGAAGCGTTATGCCCTCGGTATAGGTTTTAGAGAGGTCTGCAGTGTTACCATCCGGCACAATCCACACGGTGGAAGAGACGTATGTTTGGGCATAGATTGGAAGAGCGTAGAGAACAAAGATGCCGAAAATAAGAGTGAGGATGGAGCGTCGCATTGCACTTCGTTTGCCGAGAAGAAATAGATGACTTGATCTCAACTATGTATATCCGTCGTCATCAAATAATCCTAACAAATAGGGATCACAAACTTGTGTACGAAGGATCAAAGAACTGCGTGAGTAATGTGCCACTTGAGTATCCATTTGGCAACTTTTTGTAATGCTCAAAATCAGTCACCATAATCAGAGCCATTTCAGTTAAGGATAAGAATGTCTCACTTGAGAGATCCTTGTTGCTCATGCTTCACTATACTGGTTGTTTTCCCAGTACCAACATGTTGGGAAAATTTTGAAGCTCAACATGTATGGTCAGTGAATACGGTTATCGAGCATTGCTTACTTGGCCCATGATAGTTGATTGGATAGCGAATGAATTAGAAAACAATTCGCGAAGCATGCATTGATTGACCAATCAATGTCTTCATTGGATCTACAGGGCGGGGCAGATTATCATTTGAGGGCCCGGCGCTTACAGAAATGAAACCCACCCCTGAAATAGGAAAATAGAAACACTGCCATCTTTCGCCCCCAAATTCACTTTTTACCGCTCAGAGTACTTCTCGCTCTTGAATATTGGCCATTGCACTCTTCGATCTTCGAGGATGTCTCATCCAATCAATTCAATCCTCATTTAGCCTGTACTATATTTTTCCACATTTTCGCTAAGACTGGCGCTTGCCTCTTTCTAACCGCTTTTTGTATTTCACTCTTTACAAACGTTGTGTTTCTTTGATTTCATTTGAAACTATCAACTATAATTCTTTGCGGAAGTATTCTCCCACTAACAGTTATGGCCCTCAGATGGAAGGTATCGACCCTCGTTGTTGCGATTTTTCTTCTCTTTCTTATCTACCAAAGACCTGCGCTTAAACGCTATCAAGAATCATACGATCGAACTCAACCAATAGCTCATTCGGCTTCAGATGAGAAAGGAAACAAGTTTCGATGGTCCGAGGTCCCACATAGCTTTCCTGTCACCGATTTCATGCCTCTTCCAACGAACCCGGCCACAACAATACCGAGAATCCAACATCGCTTCAAGAAAGAAACTCAAGCCGAAAAGTCAATCCGGCAAGCTAGGCTTGAGGCCGTCAAAAGCAACTTTACACATGCCTGGAATGGCTATACTAGCCATGCATGGTTGAAAGATGAGGTAATGCCTCTGTCAGGTGGATCGATGGATCCCTTCGGGGGGTGGGCCGCGAGCTTGGTCGATACTCTCGGTTAGTACACAGCATTCAGACTCTTATATCATTTCACTAAGTCTATCTCTAGATACCCTCTGGATCATGGATATGCGTTCGGAATTTAAAGTAGCCGTCGAAGCTATTCAAGCAATTGATTTCAGTACTTGCGCTCTTGAGCAAATTAACGTCTTTGAAACTACTATTCGATACTTGGGCGGCTTTCTCTCCGCTTATGAGTTAAGTGATGGGAAGTATCCAGTTCTACTCCAAAAAGCGACCGAGATGGGAGAGATGCTGTACAAATCCTTCGATACACCCAATCATTTACCCATTCTTCGATGGTACTACCATGTCGCTGCCACTGGCGCTGCGCAGGAAGCTGAAGACAACGTTCTAGAATCTGAGATTGGTTCATTGACCCTAGAATTCACACGCCTTAGCCAGATTACAGGTGATCCCCGATACTATGATGCTGTGCAGCGCATTATGGATATATTTGACAACCAGCAACCTATATCTAAATTACCAGGAATGTGGCCTGTGGTTGTCAATGCGAAAGACAAGAACTTCGTGGAATATGGAGGTTTCACTATTGGTGGTATGGCTGACTCGTTGTATGAGTATTTACCAAAGGTAAGTTTTCATCATCTTCGAAAATATCCCAATTATTATATGCTAACATTTAAAAGCAACATCTCTTACTTGGTGGAGCTACTCAGCAATATAGAAGGATGTATGAGTTCTCTTTGATTGCAATGAAACTTAATATATTCTACCGCCCGATGACGAAGAATGGTGAGGACGTTCGCTTGCCTGGTAACGTGGATAGTGATGGAAAGACATTGGTCACGGAACTCAAAACCGATGGGGAAGCACAACATTTGGGCTGCTTTGCAGGAGGAATGGTTGCCATTGGTGCAAAAATATTCGAAAATGAACAGGATCTAGAATTGGCAAGAAAGCTCACCGATGGATGTCTCTGGGCTTATGAAAATATGCCACTTGGGATCATGCCTGAAAAGATGCATACAGTTCCGTGTGAGAATGACAGCTACTGCCCCTGGGACGAGCAGAAGTGGCTCGACGGTATAGACAAAGATACCGAAGGCAACGAAACTGTGCATGAAAAGATACAACAGCACCGACTGGTAGCTGGAGTCACGAAGTTTGATGATGGGCGTTATATTCTTAGGCAAGACATCTCATATTTCCATGGTAATGACGTGTCTAACTTTCAACAGGCCCGAGGCGATAGAGTCCGTTTTTATACTTTATCGTATCACTGGTGACCCCAAGTTGCGAGAACAGGCCTGGACAATGTTCAACAACATTATCAAATATACAATCACCGATATTGCACATGCTGCTCTCGACGATTGTACCGTCTCGGAGAATCCTCCTAAGGCCGATAGAATGGAGTCGTTTTGGATGGCTGAAACGCTCAAATACTTCTATCTTATTTTTGCTGATCCTGATTTGATTAGCTTAGATGAGTATGTCCTCAACACTGAGGCACATCCCTTAAAGAGGCCAAAATCATAGTTACATTTGTCAATATTAATTTTTTTTATCGCTATATATTGCTAAAATATCTTGCGATTCTCTGTGTGAAGAGGTCTTCAGAATTGCAAATCGTCTGCTTGCTAATATTATTTGCACTGCCTTAATTGCTCTCTTAATAGTTGCATAATCACTCGCTGCACTCGGTTCCAGCCTCTGCCTGCGTATTCGTAGGAGAAAAAAGAGGCCAAACTTAGTCATCCCAATAAATTCTATGATAAACCAACCACTATAAAATAATGAAGTTAATAACATTGAATGAGTCCTTGTATACTCATCAATCATAATATCATTTAAACATTTGATCTTCTGAATTAGAATGGAACAATTTGATTATTGAAGGGCTTTGCTAGTGGTCAATTCCGGCCTATTTTTTCTCCTATGTAGAGCTTGCTTGATATCACCATAGAACGTGTACTCCATACTGTAAATTAAGTTCAAAACACTAAAAAACCTGCTCTTGCAGGTTCTAGCTTTGTCTCCGTCTGAAATCAGAAGTTTGACATCTCTCTCTATTGACTAAAATGTATTAAAGACAAATTTACAAGAACGAGGTCTTTCACCTGTTCATACGAACCAATTGCTAGGAACTCCGTCATGAAAAACTCGCGTAAGATATACTGCTTAGGAGTTGCATCATCCATGGAATCCAGTAACCGACGAATTTCTTGCTTCATTTCCATCTCGTAGATGACTCGTCCCTTGTTGTGCGGGTACGGATATGTGAATACTCCCTCCATAATTTTGGCCCAGCAATGGGCGAACAACTCATAATCACGATACTTGTCCTTAAGATCTTTGTAATTCGTTTTGTTATCGTAATATGGTCGACGAAGAAACCGACCATAGTGTTCGTAGCGATATAAGATCTCAAGATTCATATCGTATCTTGCCGGCTTACATACGCGTGTTACTACTCTGTATATGTAGTCTTTGCGCTTATATATACGCAGCATTGGCGCGTACTTGATGAGTTTTGAATGCACTTTTCTGCTCTTGAGAGCATCAAGATGATCGATATGAGGGGTAACATCGGTGTTACATAAACTAATTGGTCGCGGAAACACGTCTTTGAATATTACATACATGCGAGGAGATGTGAATGCAATGGAAACATCTGAGACATTGAGATATCGAATGATTTTCAATAGAATCTCTACAGGCAATCTCTCCAGTGTTGAGTCTATTGATAGGTTATTAGTTAGTGGTCCACATTCTTATGAAAATCCACTTAACTGATTCTTTTGTAGCTCGGGAGACAGAAGAAAGATTGAGTGTGTTTTTAAGACATTTGAATGGCCTTCTGAAGTGCTTTCTTTTCGATATTTGGGCACCCATTTCGTACTGTAGCGAGATATTCGGGATGATCTTGATAAAAAGATTTATCCTGGCTGTCTTTCTGTATTTTTATTCCTATATCTGGGGAGATGAAGGAGGAAATAATAGAGTCGAGAAGTAACCTCTATAGGCAGAAGATGTTTGTATACGGCCGAATCGTATCCATAAATCCTGATTCAATATTGAAAAGCATGCCTACGAAGTCTTCGCCGTATACTTGACGCATCCATTTGATGCCATATTATTCTATACCTTCGTGAGGTGACTACTGTAACACTTTGAGAGCCGTAGCGAGTACTTCCCTTGGAAAATACCTTACAATGAAGGATAAGACAATTGCAGTGGTGGAAATTAGAGAGATATCGTCTTCATAAGTAATTGGATCATTGAAATCCAGATGCTTGAGCGGCATGTTTTGTGAGTGGTGTAGAATTTCGTTGAATTTAGACTATCTGGGAAGGAAATCTTCGCTTCAAAACGGATACATCAACGAGATCTCGTCCTTAATTCCTAAGGGACTCTTTGTAGTACATTATACTTAACACTCAAGACCAGAAAATCTGACACTCCACTTCAATTTCACACTAAAATGTGCCTCCATTCTCAATAGAAGAACAATATCCCAATCTGATGGACGTATATCTATAGATTCCCTGACATGTTAGGTGTAGCTACTGGTGAATCTCCATTCGTTCTTACACCAAGCATAATCCCAATATTTTCCCGCTTGATCATAACCACACTCGTCTTATAAGACTGCTTTCTAAAAAGATCCTGGAACCTTTGGATCGGCAATCTCCTCCCCGCCTTCAAACTGATCAGTTAATACGACCCGGAAGAATCTCCAAGTATATCTTCTTTTGTACCACTTTGAACCTCCTCCTTGGCTGGTCTCGGCATTATACTGTGTTTCTCCATCATGCTCTGATACCCTCTAATTCCTCATGATCTTCCAGTCTGCAGGGTCGACGTAGCTCCTCCCGAAGTAAAGCTCTGCCCGTGAAATATCCGTGTGCATAGCAAATACGTCCCAAAATGGTAAGTTCAATTCTGCCCACACAGAACTTGACTATAGCAATCATCACGTACGCACACGCAACTTCAATGAGCTTATCGCATGATCCATTGGTTTGATCTTTCGGAAGATTGAAAGGCCATTGATGTAAAAATTGATGGCAGTTTACGGCTACGTTGAGGAACAGAATTCTTTCCGGTTTTTGTTGAACGATTGATCGCATGTGATCAGCGACTAGGAAGGTGTATGCCAGTACTACAAAATTCATAGCTTACAGGTTGGTATGAATTAAATTTGCTTTAGTGGTAGTACCGACGTGGTGATTTTCATCGAGAAGAAAAAAAGAAAGAAGGGACATGATTCTATCTCTATTACCTAAATCCTTATTTTAAAGAATCATAGATTGTTCTTAGCCTCTGGGCAAGCCTGTAGATCCTTTCAATCAAGGTTTCCATGATGAATTCTTGGGAAAAATAGTTGGAACTGCAAATCGCATATTAGAAGTGCACATCGGGAATGGTTTCCTAAAAAGGCAATTTCGAGGACATATTTCCCGAGGGAAAAGAAAAAGGACAGGATTCCCAGGATTTTTTTTGGAGAGCATAATCTTGCATTCGATACAGATTTTTGAAAGACATATATCTTCATCAATTGATTGTGTCACAGGTTCAATAGCTTAGGTAGCTCAATGACTTAGGTATCCTGACCTCATGTAGTCGGCGTCCCTCCGCTTCCTTCTTCCCTCTTTGTAGAATATCATACAACTTACCAAACACCTATACCCTGTACCGTGATAGGTTAGCTAAGACAGGATTTCGAATTGATGCATATGAATTCACGTTGTAACTCGAGTACGACCAATTTCCAGTCCTAATCTATGAACAAGCTCTCAACACGCTTAAGAAGTCACAAGGGCTGGAGATTTAAGAGATATTATTAGCCGAGATACCCTCTAGCTTTAGTTCTCAAATCAAATTATGGGTAGTCACTTAGAAAAAGAGTTAAATATTATAGAATTGTTTTCCATGGGTATATATACCATTAGGGCTTATTTCTATCTCTGAGGTATATCTCCCCGCAATTTTTATTTCATTAGTGCTGTATCTCATTTTGCATGTCAGAATGAATTCAAAAGAATCTATCATATTTTGAGTTCAAGGGTTTCGTATATTTATAGGAAAACTCGATGATGCGTATAGCGAAATCAAGCAAAATCTATGTCTATGAAAATTGAGTAATAAGAATGAAAACTATCATATATCACAATCCTCATGTGAAAAAAGAATAATTTGATTATTTAAGAAGACGGAATGGCTCTTAAGGACAACCCCGATGTCACCTGAGGGTGTAAATCCCAAACGAAAGTTAACCGAGAAGCAAATACCCCAGGAGATTAGTGGTTCTAGACTATTTGTGGTTTCGGTATAATACTAAGCTAAATCAATGATTATGCTTGTTGTCTGGTTGTATGACCTCCCCTGTTATATGAGTTGCAACCTAACTAGTATGTCATTGATCTGCATGATAAAAAGCCCGCTACTCTCGCAGTCTTTTTTGCTGTTCCCGTAACTGCTTTCTTCTTGCTTCAATAAGTAATGAACCTTGTCCATACTCCTTGTTGGCTACATTGATAGCTACTCTGACGATGTATATGAATATATCCTCTGGCTCTCTGTTCTTGTACACATTTACAATTCTAACCATCTCATCAATCCATGCTTTTCCACCCATGTTAAGTGGAGAAGGATATTGTGGATGCTCATCATCTCCACGGAACTGTAGCCATCCTCTCTGAATGTGAACGCAGGCGCACCATGCCAGAAGCAACTGTCTTAAAGCGTGGCCAGAAGGATCGGCTTCCTCGCCATAAATATCACGGAGCAGAAACTTGCCAACATAGTATCCTGGTATGGCGCAGTATATCAAGATATCAGATGATCCGAGAGCTAGATCTCGAAAGTAGAAGTATTTCGTCGTGTCGTCACTTCCCATCCATCCATCGAGCAATTCATGAAGTCGAGCGGATGGTCGATATAGTGGGTGCTGAACGTCTTCCTTTGAGTTGTTATCCCATAGACGAGTTTCCAGCAGAAGGGCATCTGAGTGTGGATACTGACGCTTGTACTCATCATATACTCTATGACAAGTCAGGCCAAATATTACCCCAAATGTAGGACCAAGATGCCCCATAATATTTGCAATGAGCTCGGCAGGAAGAATATCAACTACAGACTTCTTCTCTTGGTTTGGAATCTGCTGCGTGGATTTATTGATAGATAGAGATGAGTTAGCATAGATAAATACTGATTAAAAAAACTGAAAAGAAAAAGACTAACCAGATATCTCAGAGCTGATTTCGGCATAATCTTCAAGTGGAGATTCAGGGGACTTGGGAGGAGCCATTGGTATCAAGTCGTGATCTTTCTCTACTGGAGGCATTATGGAACGTTTCAGAATATAAACTTGATAGTCGGCAATAAATTCGAATCTTTCGTTAATTCAGATTGCGAATTCGAAAAGTTATTCAGTGGTGTTGATGCAGATGTTCCGACAAATGGTGTGAAAAAAATTCTGTGGAGGTGTGTTCGTATGCACCTTATAAGAAACTGGGCATTGCAATACAGCCAGCTCATTTAAACGACCAGACACTTTAACCGTATGAATAACATTGTACTAGCCTAGCCGTAAAGTTTTAAAGCGCCGTAATTCATTAGCATTCAACGACGTAGGAATTATTGATTAGAAACCTCACTTTGAAAATCAATAATACGGAAGAGTCTTTAGAAGCCAATTTTCAAGTTAATCTTCTATACCATGGCTGGGTACTGATGGAGAGTTCACACGTCAAAGCTGCCCAATGAATGAGAGATTATACACGATTTACGGGATTTCTATCAATATGGACAAAACTTTGAAGTTGTTTCATGCGGGTATTCTAGAGCGCAAAAATTATTTAACAGTTTGCCGAAAGCTTTCTACATAAAATGTAACTGAATTTCGATGTATAATAAATCTTATACATCTTTACAAGCTCGTGCAAACTGAAGTATCGTTAACTATTAGAATGTGAAATACTGATTTTTGTTAAGGATTACTTCGAGAAAAGTTCTTTGAGGAGACTGATTCACAGGGTGATTAATAGTCGGGACTGGAATCTAATAATGAAGCTCATTAAATTCCCAAATCAATTAGAACATTCAAATTATTTGAGATATTGAATTTGGTCGAAATATTAGACCATTTCCGGATTTTCAACTGCTTTTCGGTATTAAAATCTTTATATTGTTGGACTGTAGTTCAGACTATTAGACACCTCGGGCTAGAATAGTCTATCACAAGTAAATCACTTAAAGTCGTTTCCATGGTAGAACAATTTGCGATTTGGCTGGACAATTGACCGCGCGGATATTGAGCCAAGATTGAAAGTCATATCACTACAATTTTTCATTTTATAGATCAATTATTTGGATGGTTGAAGGAACTTTGTCTGTATTCGCCTAAACTCAATTGCACAAAGCTTTCCTATTTAGCGACTATGGTGTTGAGCCATTGCATACCCCAATGCCTGTAAAGTTTCCATATCCAATAGTGTATTCACTTCAATTCATTCCCATACAGTGGCAGAAGTTAAAATCATCTCTGATTAAAACCCAATCATCTCCCTCCATTCAGAATAGTCCAACATCATCTTCTTCGACCAGCAGTGCCTCGCTTGTCGATCTAGCTCACATAATATTCTTTCTAAACTAGAGACCGCGTGGTGATATGTCTCTGCTCGGCGTACTAATAAAATCCCAAACAGATCGCAGTGTGCGGAAACTTTGATAAATAGTCCAGCCGAGAGTTCTTCACAGAGATATTTAGCAGTCTCTTCTTGGTTCTTGACTCGAATTATGGTCTGGTCCCTAGTTTTATCATCCTAGGGCAAATGATCTTCTTCCAAAGGTGACCAATAATCACATTCTGTGAGTTTTGATTCACGTGGGCAGCAGTAAGAATGCCTCCCAGAACAATATCGATATCCATAGAGACCGCTCCAATCCTCCAGACAAGACCATAGTGGGCGTGTTCGACAGTTAGGCATATGATCATGGTTCATATCATATGATGGGAAATTGTTGTTCGTGCAAAGGCATATCAGCTGCCCAAGATCCACACGTTTGATGTCATCGCAGAAGAGAAGGTAAAATCGTCGGCAAGTTAACGCCAACGGCACGAGGTTCTCAGCTCCAAAGAAGTTTAAATTCTTCGCGATCCGAAGGATTATTTCCCGTGGCAATCTTGTGATTTTGGAATTTGTAGTAGACATCTCAGACTCTAGAAAAGAGATTCAGTAGAATAGAAGGTGATTAGAAAGCTTTCGGTACTTACTGGGTTTTGACTTGGTTTTGGGTTGCACGTTTAATTTCTGACTCAATCCTATGTCTTGTTTGTACAGTTTTCTCCGAAAAAATATTTGTTCGTCCAGGGTCATACGATATAGAGCCCCAACTTTTTCATCGCGAATTACCGGGTCGTTTGGTAATGTTCTCTTAAGTTTCTTGTTGACTTTCCCGCGTTTAGCAATATTTGATGGTAAAGTGATTTTGAATCGCAGGATTACGAAGTGGTCTTTGGTGGTATCTACTTGGTGTGGAGAATTTGAATATCAGCAAGATAAAATTGATGTCCTGTGGTAGGACGTCAGAATTTGTTATTTTTTAGAACCATAAAGCAAAGAGAAAGACACGGTTTAAACGCAATAGTGCACTTAATAATTATACTACTGTATCGTGATGTATCATCAAGTTGACCGTATAGTGAAGTGTATGGGGCAGAACGTGAGGAACCAACGCAGAATGCACCGTAAAGAGGTTATACATATAAGCCGTACCACCGAATTATTATAGGGCATTGTCTCACTAGATTCTAACAATTTATTTTCTGGCCCAACACCGTATTTGATATCAACTCAGGCCGAGAGACCTCGAGATCAGAATAAAGTTTATATAAGACCCCTAGGCAACTATTTACTAGAACTATGTAACTACTCAATAAAATTGCGGGGATATTTATCTACACTTTAGCTACTGTCAATTACGAGTAGTCACTGGTATGATGTAACAACAATTTGCGAAATATACCGCTTGGAGAGTCAAATATTATCTCTACGGTCACGGTTTATATTCGAACATATCATTCTTGCCTTCTCTATGAACAGGTACCGCGATCTAGTATAACGATTGCTGAGATCTCAAATCACAGACTGGAAGTGTGACTAAACAATGTCTGAGTGATTTTGATACTATTTCGAACAAGAATTTTGTAGATTTTGTCAGTAATTCTACGTCTAATAGCCTTCATTATCAGATCTTGGAAATTTGACATTCATAGATAGGAGATGTATATACGACTAGTTTAGATGTATAAATCCGCACTGAATTCGCATTAGATCCACTGAATATCCTGTTATTTTTGAAAGCTGATTTGAAATTTTATTTTAATATAAGAAATTTCAAAAAACGAATGACTTATGTATAAAATCTCATATATCGATCTTTATTTCAATTTACACTTAATGTAGTTTATTATCGAGTGGTCTATATTATTAGATGACTTACTTTAAAATATATTAAAATTAGGCGTTTTTTAATATTCAAATTTTAATAACTAAACATTATTTTTGAAAAAAAAAAACAATAATAAAAAATTAGCTTCTTGAACATTTAATCTTTATATAAATATTTTTATTATGTTATTAAAAAAATCAAAATTGTTACGATTTTCGATATAAACATATTATATTAATAATAATAAGTCTTATATTAATTCAAATTTTCGAAAACAAATTAGATTTCTATAATATCCATATAATTAGATATCATATCTTCGATTTTCAAAAAACTATATTAATAAATAAAGAAAGTGTACAATTATATATAAACGAATTTTATAGATATTTGAAATGAGTCATTGAGTAATATGAACTACTCGATGCTAAACTATATTATGAAAAGTTTATAAAAGAGAATTTAAAGTATAGATCGAAAACAAGAATTAGAGAAAGTAATCGTTACTCTTTCTATAGACTATTATAGACCCTATTGTCTAAAGCTTTAGACTTTTTTTCAAATGAGAGTTTATTATTATATATAATTTTAATTTGTTTAAATGAAGCTTTTCCTACATTTACTTATTCGATTATTCAAATGATTATAGCAAACTGAAGATTCAAATACTCTATCTAATATATATAGTATATATATATCCTTTCATTTTAACGGCTTATTTAATAAAATCTATATCCAAACTATAAAAATATAGATTAAATATTCTCTCCTTTTAAAACAAATTCCTATTATCGCGGAATCCGTTGTAATATAAAAACCGGAGATCAAATATTTGATTTGTAAGAATTCATTATTCAAGTCCACCTATGACGAGATAAACTCTTTGTTATTTAATATGCCGTACCTTCTTCCTAGATACTATCGTACATACATTGAGCAGATGTTTTCGTTTCTATACCTCTCGCTTATGATCGCGTACGGTTTCGTAACTCCTCATATCTTCAAATATGACCTGTGTATAAGCACCAGCCTGGATCAGATTACACCAAACTATACTCCCCCGTATCACGAAATGCCATTTTCGACTTAACACCCAAGAGTATACACTTTAGTCAGTCAAAAGCGACGTATTTGAATCACCCAGTCATACTCAAACAATTTTTCTCTCTTTTGTTGAAATCGAAAGAAAGATTTTTAGCAGACGTCGATAACATGAAGGGGATTGTGGAAAAGAAGAGTCCCAAGGACACAGGCGAAACAAGGAATATTTCCGAGACGAAAAGGAGAGAGATATCTAGATATATCCCTCGAGGTGAGCGTTTACACTATGGTTAGCATGTAAGAAATAACTAACACCCTTTTAGAAGCCAGCCTTCATTTGATAGATCTCTCTTTGGATATCATCAACCTCATTACAGAGAGCCTACCACCAAGCTCAATTGTCCTCTTTGGACTCACGTGTCATGTATTCTATTCAATATTCTTCAAACAGATTTCCGAGACTTCACTTACAGCTCCAATTTGGAGACCAGACACAGACTCCAGGCAATCTGATGCCTCCGAAACGGATGCTGGACTCCAACTCCACCATATACTAAAGAATTGGAGTGCATTAGCCGGATACAATTACTTCAACACAGCTGATCTATATAGACTACATAATTCCTTCGCCATTTGCAAAACAGATGAAATGGATGGACGATGACATTTTTTCAGTAATCCGCGCCGCGATGAGTATTATGACCATGGTCAAAGATGCCAAACGTCTTAATGAAGAAGTTGAATTTGGCGCCTTAACAAAGGGGCAAAGAAGGATTCGTAACTCGACGAAACTAGCTGGTGGGCTTTTTTTCAAATGTCCTCAACCCGGTGGAAGGAGGAAATATTCTTGGCGCCGTTTATCAGAGGATGAACGATTTGAACTCACGGATTTGATGCAGTTGTGGGCTCCTCGTGTGGATTCATTGGAATATGAGTTAGATTTGCATAGACGACTGCGCCGGTCACAATATATGATGACTAGTTATGCTGTTGGAAGGAATTGATAGGCTTTTGATAAGGTTCTGAATAGTGTGTAGTTTCTAAGGGGTTTAATCTTTAGAAATATTATTGAAAGTATTATTAGGTACATAAACTAACGAAAGACTACAAAACAAACTTATAAATATTTCTTAATATTTCAATTTATATATCTTAGGAATTGTTATAAACATTCCTTAGAAAAAAACATTCGAAGTTTGAGTTCTAATTCAAATAATTAAAGAATGAATTTGTTAAAGATTTCGTAAGTCGAGGAGTCTCTCGTCAATCCAGATACTCACTACTGTAGTCTCCTAGGATGAAGTTTTCGCTATAGGTTATAAAAGAACTACCTCTTACGTTTGTATTTCCTTTGCCTCTCTGACACCACAGATTTGATCAAATATAGCCAGATTTACGCTCTTCAAAAACAATAAATAAAGAACTAACAAACTTTACATCAACACAATAATAGAAGCCAAAAATCACCACTATCGGACCAATCTTCGCACAGGGGAAAAATGTAAAGGAAGGAAGACATCTCACACTATAGAAGCTCGAACTCACACACAGTCGTTTCTTCCTCTTATGGCTTCCAAGTCAACAGGCCTGCCTACTGAATCTTCAGTCCTGTCTGTTCTATTTGACCCGCTGCAATCACGAGCAAAGTGCCCAATATTACTTCCGGCTCGCCCAAATGCACAAGCTGATATCCAACAATCGCTCTCGAATCCTCTCTCCACATCCAGCACATCTCTCACGAGAAGTTACATGTCTTTCAGTCTCACACCTGGAGATTGAGATCCCGATGCGAGTTTACCCTATACCCATGAGAGGATATACACTGTGAGATATGCGCGTCAAAGGTTCTTTTGAGGATCTAGCCAATTGGCCTAGATTGCTTTCGACAGCTTCACAACACATCGCATGCCTATCCTTATAAACCACTAACCCCCCCGGGTCACATTCCCATGATGTCGCGAAACAAGAACAGAACAAGATAACAATAAAGTAACTAATTAGATTCTCTCCGAGCGAGAGTTTTCTCTGTGATCGATACCTATCAAAAGAAACTCCACGACTAACAATACGATACATGTGACGAGATTCTCAAGACTTTATTTAGTCCGTCCATGCAATCGCAAGCGCCAACTTTAGATGTGAATTTTTGTTTTGCAAGCAAAAAGTCATTTAGAGACAACTTATATTATGTACTTTTAAAATTTGAGAGATGATAGATATACAGAGATGTCTTATTAACTCGACCATCACCAGCATGACAGTAATTCATTTATAATCATAAATTAATCGATGGATAGTGAATATCAATACTTAATTTAATATAATCCCCTCCAATCCCCTCCACTCCAAGCACCCCTCCCTATTTTCTTGAACGAGAAAACCCCATCTTTCCCACCACAATTCCCCACTCTTCTGGTCAACAACATATACCCAAATTCCTCATACCCATTCAACAAACAACACACCCAAGCGGCTTTAGCTCACTTGGGAGAGCGCCAGACTGAAGCCCACTTCGGTTTCCTTACGATTAATCTGGAGGCACTGTGTTCGATCCACAGAAGCCGCATGTATTCTACGAGTTAGGGTTCACTCTGATTTCCTTTCCTTTTCCTTTTTAGATAATGGTGTTATTGTTTTGAGGGTTTGGATTTCCAGGAAAGCAGAGAAGTGGGTAGTGTAGTGAGAATTTAAGTGAATTGAAGAGATGTGAGTGGATGAGAAAGAGATGAATGATATGGGGAGTGGAGATGTGGGGGTTAGATGTCACTTACCTACGGTACTTGTAAGCAATCGAGGTAATTATCTACTACATCGTATACTCTGAGGAGAGGGGGTACGAGTATGATGCTGGTAACTACCTACCTATCTACTCGTATATCTATCGCTTTTGGATGCGCGGGAGCTTTGGAATATATCTAATTTTCGGGCAGGGGAAAGGGGGGAAGAGGGAATGGAGAGATATTGAACGAATTAATTATCAGGAGACTTAGTTCTAATTACCATATCTGACCAACATGCATGATATAAGATCTAGAAGTTCTCTAGATTATAAATTCTACCCTACCTACTGTATCCAGTGAGGACATATATATATACATGATACGTGACCACAGGAATTCAAAGATAACAATACATAGAACGAATGATATAGTTCTAGCCTGTACACATCCACTTCCATTTCCATATCGAACAGAACGGATATCTACCATCACCTAGACTCTCAGACTGTCTAGCATTCTCGAAAAATATAACTGTGCCTGCCATCTATTTCGTGAAGCTTTATTCATTAAAAGGTATATCTCATCTCATCTCATCTATTACAACAACAACAACAATAATAATAATACAATTGATTGCTTCATCTCATCCTATGCATGCAGCGTTGCGTGAGGTCATGTAATTTGATTGAAGAACAATTCTACGCCGCTATTAGAACCCAAAGTCTGTGGTTTATGTTAGTTTAACTCATCATAGATCTCAAGATGAGATAAAGTACATCCAGCCCAAAGAAGAGAAAATAATGGGAAAGGGGGAAAAAAAAACTTACAAAAAGAAAATCATCAAAACCCCAAACATCTTAGCAACCAACCAGCGATTACCAGATACCCTCGACCAATATTTCAGTAATTCTCTTTGAGCCCCTTCAACATTATCCACCACATCTTCCGTATTCGCATCGATTCTTTGAATCATCTCACTCTGTTCCGAAACCATCGTAGCCAATTGTCCAAAAATGCCTCCGAGTTCATTAATCGTCCTCTCAATTGCTTCGATCGCTTCTCCTCTCTGATGAATATACTCATTCTGCGGTTGCGCCTCTTCCATCATCAATAACTGTTGATCGCCCACCGGATTCAAACTCAACAAATCCTGGCCCGGCCCTGGACTTCCTCTCGTGGGCGTACTATACAAAGGACTCGCGGATTGGGAAATGTTCGGCTGGACATGAGAGGACACTGACGAAATGAAATTCTCGGTGCGGGAGCGCGAAGCTTGAATATTCTTGGTGCGGACTTCGAGGACATCTTTGAAATTGGCGGATACGTCGGTCAGTTTTCCTTGGAGCATGAAAACGACGTTCTTGTTGTGTTCGCCTTCTTGATCGGCTTTGGGATGTTGTGCGCGCGTGAGACTTTGGAGACTGGAGATTTGTTGGTTGAGCGAGGAGAGATCTTGTTTGATGATGAAGGTGAGTTCGTTGATTTCGACGGGTCGGTCGTCGAAGAGGGTTTTGCGTTTTGCCACTATGTCGTAGATTAGTATTTGATTCTCTGCTTCATATATATACATTGTCTATCCATCTATCCTCCCAGGCTCAATCTCAAAACAGTAAAAAATCTCCATTCTTACATTCCGCCAACTTCTGTAACTTCTCCATGGTTCCCGTTATCCCTCTCCCAATCTCGGCCGCCTTTCTCGCAAATTCAGATCGCCGCGGCTTGCCAGGTGCATTCGCATCGCCATTTGCAGCGGCCTTTTGGGAATCGGATAGGAGGGATTGCCTCTGCGCTCCGACTTTTGAGGAGGCTTGTCTCTTTTGGACTTGTGTTAGGACGGATCGGAACTCGTTGGTTCGATCTTGTATCGATGCGACGGCCATCGCGATGGTTTGTGTGGATGGATCGATATATGTGTATTGATTTTCGCAATGGTATTAGATGGATATACCGATGTATTGATGGGTCCGGCGCAGAATGGTTCTCTTTTGTTCGTGGGTTGAGAGGTGGTTGAACGTTTGGGTTTCTTCTTGATTGTGTTGTTGTTGTTGTTGTTGTTGTAGTTGTTGTTGTGTAAACTCTCGAGGCGCAAGGTAATTTAATTATTTTAGGGTTTTGTACAGGGTGTTAATTGTTGAATGTTGAGGCCAATGGTATAGTGGTATTTGAAAGAGTACGACAAAAGCTTGAAAGAAGTTTAGTTGACGTGATTGCTTTGTATTAAAGGGTGTAAAAGGTGTATTCAAAGGTGGAATCTAACAAGAGTGTTGGTCGAGTTGAGTGCGAAGTTGATGAATGTAAGGATAATTTACAGAAAAAGTACCGTGAAAGAATAGGACAGCTGGTGTTTCGGGTTCCGGGTTCTTGATTTTTCTTGCGAGCTTGCTTCAGTGTTTACGATGCACTCCTTCAAATTCTTGGTGTTCCATTAGCCCTGAAACCGAGCAGCTAAGCCTAAAGCTCCGTCCTGTACTCGAGTATTACATATCTCTTACTATTATTACTATTCCAGCCTCGGAAGGAGATAAGGCCGTCCCCATCCACCATTAAATTCATTACCCCCCTCTAGAAGGCAAGAAGGCTAGAAGGCTAGAAGGCTATAAGGATGTTGGTTGTGTCTGTGTCAATATCTACTCTCTCTGCTAGGCCGGTGCGTTTATTTTAAGAAAATCCTTAGCTTTTGATAAGTTGTACAATGGCAAATGAGAATAAAGACCCTTGTGAAATACTCCCATATCATTCGTTCATTCTCGGCACATATTTTTTTCGACGTTGTGGCTGAGTTCCAACTCAACGCTTGTCTGTGGGTAAAGAATTCATCATCTTATCATCATCTGGTGATCATATGCATGATGAACCGGTAGAGAGTACCTAATATGAATGAGTACTGGAAGATCACTCGTGGAGATGACTGACTTTGTAGGGAAAATTGATTGTACTCAATTTGGTCCATGTCCCGGTAGCTACCAAGGACGTACTTCGTAGGTGGTTGTTTGTCTTCATATGGAAGTGTAATTACTAGGAGATTAAATCCAAGGACTATATGGAGATGTTGTGCAAGGTCAGATGGTGGATGTATTCATTTGGCTGAAGCCACCTACTTGTCCATGTGCCCAACACCTAGACTAGGTACCTGTGTAGTATTCCTTTCAAGCTTGTAAGGTAGGCCTCTCGTACATCTACATCTCTAGGACATAGATAGGTACATGCTCAATAGAGCTATGTACATACTAATAAATACATGCTATACACAGGCTTATGTACATACTAGGTACATACACATTTCA